TTGGTGTATGAATAATTTTACGAATTACGCACAGTACAACCTTTATACACATACATATTTAAAACAAGGTAGCAATTTCCAGATTTTCCAGCGTCAGATTCAATATTATTCCAACAAGTAAGAAAAATATTGTTTTTGGCTAAGATTTCAGATTAAAATTCTTTTAATTCGAGATAGTTTTGGCCAATATAAATAATATTTAATAAATATTTATTATTGACTAAAGGATTTACATTTTAGTTATGAGACCTTATTAATTAACAGTTTTCTTACTTTTTCATTAGTAAATATATGTATTTTATTATTAATTTGAGCTTATAGTAGGCTAGTATAAAATAAATTTAAAAAAATATTAAAAATTTTAAAATTCAACTTTATTCATCTAAAGATTTAAACTACACCGAGTACATCTCAAAAGTGGTTCACCCCTATAACTTTTTTATTTTTTCAGATAAAAAAACGAGATGGGGTATATAAGGTATGGAGTATATGACATAAATTAAGATTGATTGACGTATTCAATTGTTTTCGGTCACTTCCTGTTTCACCGGAAATGACTACAACTTTTGATTTTTAAATGGCACCCTAGTTATTTTTTTACTTTATTGGGTAGAAAATGACACTCTGAATAGAATGACATATCAACTTTTGACATTCTTGATTCTTGCAAAAAAAAAATATTTTAAATTTCAATCTAGAGTGCCATGGCTACGTTAAAAACACTTTTTAATCAAGGAGCCTTGGAAAAATAGACTTAATCGTTTAATGTTTTTAGTGTCTTGTCCTGGTCGGCTAAAAGATGCCCAAATCACATTTTTAATCATATGTCAATTTTTTCAAATGGACCAAAGGTATCTCATTAGCACATTTGGAAAAATATTTTGCATATTTCGAGTAAAATTGTCGTTATGAACCGCATATTACAATTTCAAATAAACCATATGCGAAAATGTCAAAAGTTGACATATGATATTATGTAATTCTATTCAGTGTATCATTTCCTATCGAATATAGTAAAAAAATACCGGGGGTGTCATTTAAAAATCCGAAGTTGTAGTCACTTCCTGTGTAACAGGAAGTGACCAAAAACAACTGAATACATCAATCAATCCTAATTTATGTCGTATACTAACATACCAAATCTCGTTTTTTTATCTGAAAAAATAAAAAAAATACAGGGGTGAACCACTTTTAAGACGCACCCGGTATATCCCAGGAAAATTCAACTTCAGAATATACAGGGTTAGTCTTATTTAAGTTCAAATAATTTCAGGGCTGGCAAGTCTGCCGTTTTTCAAATTAAGTCCAAATAGCCGAGTTTGTCTTGCTTTAAAAATAAAAAGAATGATTTTTTGCTTAAATTTTGAGAATCACTGGCTTTTTTATGTTTTTTTAACTCAAAAATTTAAAAAAATTGGAAGAATCATTGAAAAATACAAAATTTAAAAAAAATCGCCACTAAAAGTATTTTTACTTGTTTAAGACTCACGCAGTATACAGGGTGAGTCTTAATTTAAGTCTAAAGTGTAAATATTTTAGTTTCAAAAAAATTTTGAAAATCGTGCATTTTCTTTTAAATTTTCCTGTATATTTTAGAAAACTTTTTAGAACTGCCTGTTCACCGGATATTTTCCCACGGTATAATTTCCGTTATTACCATGGTTACGACACTAAAAGGGATGCAAATACAGAAAAAATTCGATGACTGATTTTTTTTTAAATAAATGAATTTTTCTTTTAAATTTCAAACTTGAATAACTCGGTTGTTTTGAACTGTTTGGGGAACTATGTTTCTTTTATCGAGATCTACTATCCCTGAAAATATTTGCACTTATTTAAGGCTCGCTCTGTACAAAGTTATATTATACTCACTTAAATACTGACACATTTATTGTCAGACAAACCCATTTCCCAAAAAACGAATATTAATTTCAGTTCGATCCTATGAAAGCACTCATCAAATAACATTAATATTTCAGCATAATACTAAAGTACTCTTTCTCAAGCCATTTAAAAATATCTTTGGCTCAACGCTATACCATATATCTGTTAGTTGTTAGATTAGTCATGTTAATGTTCAATTGGGTCAGTGAACGACAACAAACCAATAGAATGAATAGTTTTTCGTAAAAATTATGAAAACAACTATTTCGCCCACTTTTAAAACATCGAACTTATAACAACTGCGACTTTGTTGCACCGAGGTGTGGTGAATAGCGTCTACAGAAATGTATCGTTGAGACTTTAGCGAATATCGGAACTAGCACCATCGATTTACACCAATGTGCCATTTTAGGATAAAGCCCAAAGCAATATGTTACGCCTTTTGAACAGCCGTCTTAACTTTCGCCGACGAAGGTAAAATTATTTGAGCATATTTTAGATAATGATGTGTACCATGCTGGCAACTCTTACTTTTGGGTCGGTATTTACATGTGCGGAAGTACATCGCATAGGGATCTTATTAAGTCGGAGTGAGAGAAATGCGACGGTGTGCTGTTGCGGCATTGTCACATTTCTTCGATACGCCTTTCCCTACCAACTGAAGTAAAATCACGATTGCAAACCGCTTATTTTTTAAAGACCTTTTTTGAAAATATAACTAGATAAAATCATTATTATCTGTTTCTGAGCATCGGAAATATAAGAATATCGTTAGGGTGTATACAGGGTGGGCCACTGAAAACTTACAATGGCTATAATTTTTAAACCAAAAAAGATATAAAAAATACCGTTTCTATAATATCGAGGGGGAATACATATGACGTATTTTTTGAACCACCCCGACCTACCCCTTAGGACGCACCCCTACTCACTTGAAAATCTTAAATGGCAACACCCCACTTCTGGCGTCTTTTTGGAAAGCTCATGAAAAATGCTAAATGATGATCATAAAGTTTTTAGGGTGAAATTGAAAAACTACCCTTACACGAACAATTAGATGGACATTAATGAAAAAGGTGATTTTTTCAGCATAAGTTACAAATACCCAGCTAAATCACACAAATGAAGTATTTTTCAAACCACCCCAACCCACCCCTAGGTGGCACCCCCTCACTTCTAATCTCAAGATAGCGATACCCCACTTGTGACACTTCTTTGGAAAGCTAATTGAAATTGCTAAACGATGGTTATACAGACTTCAACTTAATTCCTGGTTAGTGACAAGAAATGTAGGTGTGCCAATTTGAAAGAAATTTAAAATGATAATTTATTTTAATAATTGCTCAAAATGACAGCCGTTTTGTTCCATAGTCTCTCTCGGAATATTTCGACATGCTTCAGTTCTCCTCTGCCGCAATTCTTGCAACGAACCTGGTTTTGTCTTGTAGACTATGGATTTACTGTAACCCCACAAGGAAAAGTCTAAAGGAGTGAGATCAGGTGACCTTGGCGGCCACTCGATTAGACCCCTTCTGCCAATCCATTGCCTTGGATAATATTTATCCAACCACCGCCTTGTGACAATATAATAATGCGAAGGGGCTCCATCTTGCTGAAAGTGTATGAGGTCTTTATTAAGAGTTATAATAAATTTCTTTGTACCAGCAATAGTTCATGGATACAAAAATAATTCACTCTATTGATTTTGACACATTTTGACATATTTGTTTTATTTTTAGGCTCTATTTTTTTCGTTCGTTTTTATTACAGTCGTTCAGCATTTTTTATACGCTTTCCAAAGAGGTGTCACAAGTGGTGTATCGCTATCTTGAGGTTAGAAGTGAGGGGGTGGCACCTAGGGGTGGGTCGGGGTAGTTTGAAAAAAACCTCATTTAGCTGGGTCCCAATTTGTAACTTATGCTGAAAAAATCACTTCTCATTCATGTCCACCTAATTTTTCGTGTAAGGGGTAGTTTTTCAATTTCACCCTAAAAACTTTATGATCATCGTTTAGCATTTTTCATGGGCTTTCCAAAAAGGCGCCACAAGTGGGGTGTTGCCATTTAAGATTTTCAAGAGAGTAGTGGTGCCGCATTAGGGGTAGGTCGGGGTGGTTCAAAAAATACGTCGTATGTATTCCCCCTCGATATTATAGAAACGGTATTTTTTATTTTTTTGATATCTTTTTTGGTTTAAAAATTATAGCCATTGTAAGTTTTCAGTGGCCCACCCTGTAGAATATCGTTAGGTCAGTAATCGCGATAACTTAAAAACTCAAGTTTTTAACACATAACGCGCGTTAACTCAAGAACCACGTTAGATATTGAAACTTTTTTATTTTGAAGTTCGGATCTTTTATAAAATGTTTAAATAAAATAATTCGATAGAATTGTTTTTTTTTCATTCAAAAATTTAAAAAAATCATCCATTTACTTTTAGTGCATAGCAATTTTCAGCAATCATATACCTTTTTTATTTATAAAGATTTTCACATACTATCTGCGAAGAAAATATAGCAGAAATATTAAGAAAGTTTATGAAAAAACTATAATAAATCATTTCTAATGGATTTCGAGATATCGATTTTTGAATTCAGAGTTCTAATAGCGCGACCACTGTCGAACACCAATTCAGTTCCACTTATTTTTACCAAAAGTGCAAGTGTTTCTATCTTGCACTTAAAAATTTACAAGCAATAGGGAAAATTACAACGACTCGTTAATAAATAAACAAATAAAGGTATCACGAGACGTAATTAAATCGTGAAGCTGAACGCATGATGTACACCCTTCCCTAGAATTTTAAGTACTGATTGGTTCATGATTCATGATTGGGTCGACCGTGACGAATCTGCTATATCCCTTATCCCTTCTCTTAGCAATGTGCACAGTTGCTCGATTTATTTCATACGTTTGGCAACGTTTTTACTGTTCTCTCTTTGTTCAGTACATTATAAACGCATTGTACTCTTCTTACATACGGAAATCTCGACCCAAAACTAACTTTTGCCAGTTCTTAGTATACCTTTGAGGTCTTTTGTGTATACCCTGACAAACTTCTTCTAACTGTACTAAAGTTAGATTAGAAAAATAAATGTTTTTCTTATATCTTTACAGTAGCTTAAGATCTTTTGATAACGAAACCCCAACACAAGTACCACCACCAAAACCATGTGCAGCCAATACTATTACGAATAAATCGAGGCCACCGTCCATTAGAAAGAGTAGCGGTAATTCAGGAAAAAGCACAAACCAGGAGGACTTAGATTATGACGGTAAGATATTTTATTTTCTTCTTCTCAATAAATTAAACCACATCTGTAACTGTGTATTTCATTTTTTATTTATATTTTAAAGCATAATGTTATCTGATTAGAATTATAGGTTGTAAAATCAATATATAGTTTATCCATTGAAAGAATATACAGGTTGTTAACTGGACAGTTACTTATAGGGGAACAGAATGGCAACACTGCCTATTGAGAACGCATGCACTTATAGGGTTTTCTACGGGCTCGTCCCGTCGCGTCGTCTATCGACGAGCGAGCCGAGGTTGCCATATTTCAACCATAAAGCTCTTCCCGCGAGTAATAAACAAATTAACAACCTGTATGTATTATTACAGCATTGTACGAAGAAGATGACGATCAAGACGTTGAGATGGAAAACCATGGATCCGTCATTAGACATCTTTTATCTCAGGTTAAGATCGGCATGGACTTGACTAAAGTGGTGTTACCAACCTTCATCTTAGAAAGGCGATCCCTACTAGAGATGTATGCCGATTATTTTGCGCATCCAGATTTATTTGTAAGGTTAGTTCAACCCAATTTTAATAGTGTTTTTTTTTCTATGAAATGTAAAAAAAACTTTTTCTTTCCATAGCAACTGTTAAAATTGATTTATATCTATCAAAAATAGTAGATAAAATAGTACTTTAACCGCAAGGGTAGATTAAATGATACTTTAACAGCGAGGATAGGTTAAAAACTTTATTTCTCTTCGCACGTTTTTTAATTGCTTCCATTTTTGAAAATTTTTGTATTCCTTTTCATAAGTTATTCGGGATTTAAACGGAAGTAGTTTGGATATGGCGTTTGTCGCCTCAGCCTGAATATCTGTTGGTAATTTACTTATTTCGTTTTGAGCCATTTCTGGCTCCAATTCAATCAGCAATCAACACGAAAGAGACTTAAAAAATATTGACTCAAAACTGACAACTAAAGAGACAGCTTTATTTATTGGTGAAATTACATAGAAACCAACGCCAACCCAGCACAATATTTTTTCTACTCGTTAAATTTCTGAATATTCTGTAAAACGTAACTCGCTATGGAAAAAAAATATTGTTTTATACACGACGATAAAATTGCATTATTGTCTCCCGAAATTAATCTTTTCGGACGACGATAAAATACCATTTTATCGTCTTGTATAAAAAATATCTATTAAATGTCTGTAAAACAATTTTTGAAACTACTTGGTATTTTAACATGGTTTTAAAAGTTGTTTTACAAGCATTTAATAAATATTATACAGGGTAACCCAATATCCGGCAAATAAAGCACTTAAACAATAGCACACTATTAAAATTATCTTATTTTTTTAGTATAGCGGATGAGAAGGATCCTCGAGATAGAATGGTTAGAGTAGTGAAATGGTACCTGTCGTCATATCATGCCGGTCGCAAAAGTGCAGTCGCCAAGAAACCCTACAACCCCATTTTGGGCGAAGTTTTTAGGTGCCATTGGGATATTCACCCAAAAACCAATACAGCAAACGAAGAAGTTGTTTCGGACGGACCTATACCGTGGTGTACTAAAGAACAGTTGACATTTGTAGCTGAACAAGTATCGCATCATCCCCCAAGTGAGTTATTTAACGTATGACATTTCGACATATTAAAAAATACTGTTTGATCGAAAAAAACGTCGTCAGCGATGGCTATGAAATGAAGATCGCTATCATTTTATATGTAAACTAGCGTGTACCCGCGACTTCGTTCGCGTCGAATTAATCATATGTAATGGTGATGATTAAGCAAAGCAAGAATTCTCCCCAAAAAAATCCTTTATGGGTATTTCGCCACTGCACTGCAAGAAAAATCTACATAATAAAACAGTTATTTTTTGTAAACACTTCTGGCGTTAAACCTAAACGGACACTGCTTGTCAGAAGTTATGTCTACAGTAATAAAAATTTGCCTAACAAAGAAAAAATTCTTAACGTTTCGGAAAGTTTTTATCTCTTTCCGTCGTCGGAAGCAAAAAAATACAAAGAATAAACAAAAAAAAAACTATTTAAAATATTTAAATTCAACTATTCGAGAACACTTTACTGTTTTTAAAACAGATACGTCTACAAGAAACCGTTGACGTTCTGTTAAAAAATGAATGTTTTTTTTTGGAGAGATGAATCCGCCACATAGGTATAGACATTTTTTTAAAGCAAGAATTTCCATTAACATACAAACTGGATAAAATTTTCTCACGTTTATTTGTCAGCATGAGAAAAAACAATATAGCGATATTATGGTTAACTTGGTAATATTTGAGGGCTAGTTTCATCTCGTTGGAATTTGACTTTCGAAAAATCCGTTTGCCAAAAAAAAACTTTTTACGTCAAGCAGTTTAAGCAGAATCGTGGTTAATCAAGTACTCAACTTTTTGGAACATGTCATACGTATGATTTTTTAAAAAATGTCAAAATATGTTAAAAAACAAAATAAATTATGCGTGTCCACGCGTTTTCCCGAAAGACTAACCGTTTTAAAATAACAAATATTGTAATATTTGAGGGGCGTTTTCACCCTCTTGGAATTTGAGATTCGAGAAACCCCTCCTTATTGAACCTCTTCACCCCACAGTCAATCCGTTTGCCAAAAATCAGCTTTAAACGTCGAGCAGTTTAAGCAGAATCGTGATTACTCATTGGTCATATTTTATGAAACACCCTGTCTAAATTTTTAAAAAATCTTAAAATATGTAAAACAACAAAATAAAATATACGTGTTTAAGAGTTTTTCCAAAAATCTCACCGGTTTTTAAATAAAAAATATTCTAATATTTGAGGGGCGTTTCACCTCCTTATAATTCGAGTTTCGAAAAATCACTTCTTATCGAACCTCTACACCCTAAAGTCAATCTGTTTTCCAAAAATCAGCTTTCTACGTCGAGCGCTTTAAGCAGGATCGTGATTAATCAATGACCAGATTTTTTGAAACATCCTGTATACATTTTTAAAAAATCTTAAAATATGTAAAAAACAAAATAACGTGTGTTTAAGCGTTTTTTCGGAAACTTGACCGTTTTTTAAATAAAAAATATTGTAATATTTGAGGGGAATTTCGAAAAATCCCTTCTTATCGAACCTCTACACCCTAGAATCAGCCTGTATGCCATAATTGAACTTCTTACGTTGAGTGGTTTGAGCGGGATCGTGATTAATCAGTGAGTCAGTCACTTAAGGATTTTATATATTTGTATAGATTTATAATGGGAAATGTCATCGATCGCCGTTTTTTTTTCGATCATACGGTATATAACCTAAAGAAGACCACAAACATCTAGATATTTTACATAATATTCTATCACTTTTATTTGGTTTTCAGTATCCGCTTTTTACGCCGAACATTACAACAAAAGGATCAGCTTCAACGCGCATGTGTACACGAAATCTAAGTTTTTAGGGCTGTCAGTATGCGTATACAACATCGGTCAAGGAATTGTATCTGTGAGTAAACAAGATTTTTTTATTTTTTTTATTATTTTTGCCGACGTATTTTTAATTGTCATTTCTTTTCTGTTAATTTTAGCCAAATACCAAAAATATCTTGATTCAAAATAAACTCTTTATACAGGGTGGTCCGAACTGTATTCCGGAAACTTCGGCAGCATATTCTGTAGATAAAAATAAGTAAAAAAGTTCGTATAAATGTATGTCCTAAAATGCTTAGTTTCGGAGACACAGGGTGTAGAAGTTTCATTTTTATTTCGATTTTTTCCAAATAATTTCTGAAGTAACGTCACTATTTGGATGAAAATTGGTGTTTGGGAGTTTTTTGACATGAGAAATTTGATTTTGATGTCAATATGACTCGTACTAGTAGAGGGCGCCACCTACATATTTTTAACTGGTTTGAAGACTAATAACTTTTCGTCCGTACCTGTATAAAACTACTGAGTAAAAAAATATACATTTATGACGTTTTTACGTGAAAAAGGTCTCTTGGTAAAAATCGCTACGAGTAATGGTTTTCGAGATATTTGGAATCGAAATTAACAATACCTGTCATCGTTGACATAAATTAAACATGTTGACTAAATAGTTATTAGACTGAAATCATAAATTTGAAATGTTTTTGTGCCAAAAGTTCAACAGAAACTGTTTTATCATCATATTTTGTAGAAAAATTTATGATGAATTTAACAAAATAAAAATTTCCCAATTTTATTATTTCAGTGAAATATAACTATTCACATACTACTCAACGTGTTTATTTTTCGTCAATAATGAGATATATTGACTATTTCCATTCAAGTAGCGATTTTTACAAAAAGATATTTTTTACGTAAAAAGCCACAGAGATGTATATTTTTTCACTCGGTAGTTTTATACAGGTACGGACAAAAAGTTATTAGGCTTCAAAACAGTTAAAACACATGTAGGTGGCGCCCTCTACTAGTAGGAGTCATATTAACATCAAAATCAAATTTCTCATGTCAAAAAACTCCCAGGCTCCAATTTTCATCCAAATATTGACGTTACTTCAGAAATTATTTAGAAAAAATCGAAATAAAAATGAAACTTCTCCACCCTGTATCTCTGAAACTAAGCATTTAAGGACATACATTTATATGAACTTTTTTACCTATTTTTATCTGCAGAATATGCTGCCAAGGTATCCTGAATACAGCTCGGACCACCCTGTTTATTAAAATTTATTACGAACACAACCTAACCTATTTTTTTATACTTCAATAATTAAATTAAAAAACATCAGGCTAAATGCATGTATGGAAAACGAATTTAAATATCGTCAAAAACTTAATAATATCATTTAATTTTTGGCTTATGTTGTCGCTATCACTAGCGACCAAACCACAGCCGATAAATATTAGAATTTCTCATATTATTTATTGGCAATCAAACGAGCAAAATAAGAACAGCCAGCTGTTTCAGTCATTGTTGATGGCTCCGTACATTGTACTATTTAAATATTCTTCTAGGTGCTTGACTACAACGAAGAATACATCGTAACATTCCCCAACGGGTACGGTAGGTCGATCCTCACCACTCCCTGGATAGAACTTGGAGGTACCGTCACCATAAACTGCCCTCAAACGGGTTACCATTGTGATATCGAATTCATAACGAAGCCTTTCTACGGAAACAGGAAGCATAGAGTCAACGCGGAAGTTTTCGCGCCTGAGGATAAAAAGTCATTTTTGACTATCAGCGGCGAATGGAATGGAATTATGGAAGCTAAATGGGCCGATACGGTAGGTATAGAATGTTTAGCCATCCTTCAACGTCACGTCATATATTATCGAACTCTCTCAATCACTTGCCAACCAGATGAAAGAGACTGGTGACGTCATTACGGCATTTCGTAAATTGCTGCATATTCTTTTTAGTAATTGTCATTGTCATTTGATTTGGGGTTATAATTTTATTGACGGACATCGATCAGTGTCAAAATTAAAATTTCATTGTTGCTGTAAAACAAAATTCAAATTTTTTTATTGCAAAGATGCTTTTAAATTATTTTTCTCGAGAAAGAGACGCTGGTAGAACACTCTTGCTCGTGGACGACGTATATGAAGTAAGTACAATGCATAGGTGTAATATTCCTATGTAAAATACAAATTGATAGCGTTTTTAGATAATATAGCGAGTTGCTGATGTTTTAGAAATAGGAATTTCAACAGTCCAAAGGATTGGAATTAAAGGGATCGTAACAGATGAAGAGTTCAAGAAAAAAATGAATAAATGCCGAAAAAAACGGAACTCGCTCGATCAGTAATATAGGAACGTACTTAAAATTTTCTAAACAATATGAATTGATCTCAGACACACCCTAAAACTCATATTTGACCCTAGATCATATATACTATGGAAACTGTTCCAAACATATCAACGACTTCCATCTTTGACTTCCATTTATCTTCTTTTTTTGTTGCACACGCGGTGCTTCTACTCTATCTATCCTTTTCGAGGACCTATCACCCACGCGCCAAATTTGAACATTAATTTTAAAAATTTAATTTGTAAAATGCATATATTTCAACAATAATTGAATGTTACTGTCACAAAAATTAAATTATATAAAAAATAAATTTGCCACTCCGTACGAATATCAATATTCTTAGGAAATCTAACCAGAAAGTATGCATGTGGTTTAATATACATAAAAGAACAACTGAATACTTTACTTGCCTGTGAATAGATAATTCGGGGACATTTATATTATAATTTCCACACACCAAACACGTTCTTGTCATTTTTACGAAGATTTACTCTAAAATTAAAACCCAACCAATAAAAATAGAAATATAATTGCACGATCTTAAAATTAACTTCTCACTGAACACACTTGCATCCTTGGCTATATAAAAGCGGTCGATAAAAGACTAATTAATACAATGTTTGAAATTAAAATAAAAAAACTCAAAAAACAAGCGTCATTACACAATGGAAATAACATTATGACATATGATTATGACAAGATTATGACAATATGATGGCAATGAAAAGTTGGTTTCCATAACAATGTATAATTTGTACTTTCTAAACCGGATAAAATTGTAATTATTTTGGAAATACGTGCCACTTTTAATGCGCATGCGTAAAGTCAGGTCCTTGAGAAAGACAAACCTATTGAACGTTTCATAAGTGCAATAAAGAAGGTTTGAAAATGGCATGTCGTGATGTTAGGGACATATTTTTTAATGCTAAACTTATGGCGTTGATTTATCCACGTAACTATATATGATCTAGGTATTTATCAAATAATGATGACGTAACGGTGAACGATGGCTTAACAGTCTTTATTTCATTATAGTTTACTATTTTTGAGATATTTTCCACTAAGAATGCCTTACACATACACAAATTAAACTCAATATGACGACGAAATAAAAACTTAACAATGACACACTAAACCAATGAAAAAAAATGTTTATACCTCTCCAAAAAAATCTTATATGAGTATTTCGCCACTGCAAGAAAATCTACAAAATAAAATAGTTATTTTTTGTAAACACTGCGTTAATCCAACGGGAACTACTTGTCAGCATTTAGGTTTATAAACCAGCGAACACTGTACAACAAACAAAAAATATAATATACAAAATAACATGTGAATGTGATAAATTTTATATTGTTGAAACATCTACACCCTTAAATGTTCATAAGATTATTTAAGATTATTCAAGAAAGAAGTTCATAAAGATTATTTAAGAAAGGGCGATTTTCGCAAATCTAAGATTTGTCAGCATACATGGGACAGAGGGCACACATTAGATTTTAACAACGCAAAAAATTATTATGAAAGAAGCGATAGCCTCTAAACGAAAAATAATACAGTCTAGTGTAAATAAATTTATTGCTCCAGCATCTGTAGAGGTTAGTGATGTATGACAATCGCTTCTTTGATTTTAAAGAACACAACATAAATAAACATAAGTAAAAAATTAAAAACAAGTAAAAATAATCATATACAGAAAGTTGAGGCATTTTGGTTTTGGCTCATTCAGTAATTATTATCAGGTAGTAATTGTTAATTTTGATGTTTAACTTGATATATAATGTCACTTTAACAGAACGTCAACGGTTTTTATAGACGTACCTGTTGAAAAGAACTAAAATGTTCGTGAATAGTTGTATTTAGATATTTTAAATGTTTTTTTTTCTTTAGAAGACGGGAAGAGATATTCTTCAGATATACTGCGTACCATACGTTAAGCATTTTCTTGTCCGTTAGGCAAATTTGTTTATTAGTAAATCACCACTGACAGGTTGGTCTCCATTGGATAACCTCAGCAGTGTTTGCAAAAAATAACTATTTTAACTATAACACTGCACCTGAGATTTTCTTACAGTGCAAGTGACGAAATACCCATAGGACTTTTTTGCAAATAATATAGATGTAATTTACTTGTTTGTTTCAGTCTGACACAGAACTATTCATCGACGTGAATGCGACAAATCCGATAAAGAAACAAGTTCGACCGATAAGGCTACAGGAGGATAACGAATCGCGAAAGTTATGGAAAGAAGTTACAGCGGGCTTGAAGTTCAACGAAATTGACAGGGCGACGAATGCCAAGCAGTTCTTAGAGCAGAAGCAAAGAGATGAAGCGAGGGAACGAAAGGAAAGTGGAACGGAATGGCAAACTAAGGTTAGTTACTTGACTGTGAATCTGTCGATACTTTTAGTACAAAAATATGTAATACCTTACTTACTTACTGCTATTACTCGCTGACGAGTATTTGACATGCATCAGAAGATGGTTATGCAAGGCGTTTTCTTTCGTGATGTTATCTCTTTTCCGCACTCCGGACGTTCAAAAATCTCATTACTTTGTTGCCTCTTTACTTTTTGGTTGTCGTTGTTAACTGAGTTTACAATTCTTCTCCATCGCGTTCTATTATGCGCTGCTTCCTCCCACTGTTTCTGCATGCTTATTCCCTTTAAATTTTCGTGGAAAATATCCTTGTACCTTTTGAGTTGTCCGCCAGGTTTCCTCTTACCGTCTACAAGCTCGCCGTAAAGAAGAGATTTCGGTAGGCGGTTTTCTTGCATCCTGCGTACGTGACCAGCCCATCTTAAGCGGGATTTTGTAATCATGAATTCAACGCTCTCGCAGCTAGCCCTTTCAAGAACCCATACGTTTAAGACATTGTGGTACCATTTGATTCTTACTTAACAGTGGTCTAAGGTGTCTCTGTTGCAACTTGTTTAATACGTGTAATAGTTCTCTGATTTTTATAGCATTGTTGTGATTTTCCCGGGTAGTGCACATGATTTTAGTTTTATCAATATTCAGCCTCGTGTTCAGCATTTCTTGAAATTGCTGTAACGTTTTTGCAACTACGTACAGCGCAGTCATCAGCGTATTGAAATTCTGTGATGAATTTTATATGTGGTTTTGCACTGAGTCTTGTTATGTTGAACAGTCCACCATAACACCTATAGTAACTTTTACTCTCAAAATGTTATTCAAACCGCTAAAAGAAAATTGTAATAAATCTATAAAAAAAACTATCGGGAAAATTACAGCGACTGGTTAAAGAAACTATCACGTCCTTTGGCGGAAACACTGCGACCTGTGAGGCCTATTGTGTTTGTCCCCTTTCTATATCTACACCCTGTGCCCCGCACTAACTTATGTAGGTCCTTGATAGGATGGGAGCATAGTTCCTCCGGTTCTAGCCTAGCTTTCCCAAATAAAAAGTGTTGCTTACGATCCAGAGCCTCGCAGTGACATATTATGTGCTCCGTTGCTTCAGGATCTTTATCGCAGAGTCTGCAGCAAAGACTTCCTTGACACAGGTTGAGCTTGTTTAGGTAACACTTGACAACCATATGTCCTGTCAAGAGGCCTGTTGTAATCCGCAACTTATTCCTGCTAAGCATTAGCAGTTCTTTTGCGGTTTTAGAGCTAGATCCTTCGATAAAAGCCTTGCTGTGCCTGTGCCCCTGTCTGTTTCTCCAGTGAACATTCTGCTTTTCCCTGATCCAGAGTTTTTGTTCCTTCGAGCCAGAGCTCCCAGTTCACCTAGGCGCATTCCCAGACGAGTCTCGACGATACCTTTGGGCTCATAAGCGCCCCAAGTGACCTGACTGTCTGAGCATATATTGATGAGCTTATCTGAATAAGCTCTTCTATTGTTTTCTCTCGCACATTGTAGAATGGCGAAGATTTCTGTCTGGAATACGGTTGAGTGTTTACCCAAGGAAATGTATAAACTTACCCTTGGTCTTTCCCCAAATACTCCAGCTCCTGTTCCTTCAGCAGTCTTTGACCCGTCTGTATACCAGGTTAGTCCATCCTGAAGGAATGTTATATCTGTCCACATTCCTCGATCCATTTTGTTCACCTCGAATGGTTTGTGGTAGGTAGTGATAAACAGGGGTCATTTCCGATCTCATTTGGAGTAGAGGTCCCCCGATAGAATTTCCCATCTTTGAGTGTCCTGTTTCTGTCCTATTTCCCAGAGACAAGACACTTTGTTGTCGATAGAGTCCCATTCTTGCCTCCGCCTGGATCACTATGTGAAGAGGCGGAAGGTCCAGAAGCGCCTCCATTGATGCAGTGGGCGTTGGTTTCATCGCCCCTGTTATGCTCAAACAAGCAAGTCTTTGCACCTTGCTGAGGCTGAGCGTTGTTGTTTGTTGCATTACCTTAGGCTACCATACCAAGGATGCATATGTTACTGAAGGCCTCACCACTCCAGTGTACAGCCAATGACCATCTGTGGTCTGAGGCTCCAGATTTTTCCATGAAGTCGTCTGACTACCGCTAGTGTAGTCACCGCCCTCCTTGTGACATTTTCCAAATGTCGGTTCCAGGTCAGTTTGGTATCAAGCGTGATTCCTAGATACTTGACCTCCCCCGAGAGAGGAATCTCATCACCGCAAAATCTTAGAGGGCCTAGTCCCTCAAGTATTTTGCGCTTGGTGAAGGGGATTATTATGGTCTTTGTAGGACTAATATTTAGTCCCTCCCGTGTCACCCATGATTCCACAATCTTCAAGGCCCTTTGCATTCGCTCCCTTACTGTTGTGTTAAACTTACCTCTGACTAACACGACCAAATCGTCTGCATATCCCAGAGTGTTGAAACCAGCCCTGTTGAGACTATTAAGCAGTCCGTCCATAACGAGATTCCACAGCAGAGGGGAGAGATCACGAGACGTAATTAAATCGTAAAGCTCAACGCATAATACACCCTTCTTTAGAATTTTAAGTATTGTTTGGGTCGACCGGTCGACCGCGACGAATCTGCTGTATCCCCTTCCACGTTTCTCAGCAACGTGCACTGATTCTCTGTTTTCATACGTTTGGCAACGTTTTTACTGCTCTATCTTTGTTCAGTACATTATAAACGCATTGTACTCTTCTTAGATACGGAAATCTCGACCCAACATAACCTTTGCCAGCCCTTAGTATAACCTATATTTATTTTAGCTATTCAAAAGAGCTGGCGACAGCGACTTACACCCTCAGTGGATTTACACTCAGCAATTAAAACAGCGCTTGCCATCCAAAGCAACGAATGCGACATGAAACTAAAAGTAGCCGAAGCTTTCCCCCGTAATTGCACTTTCGCCATAACATGGACTTAAATTTTTATGATTAACCATAAAAAACTGTGATAATACGTCATGGAAATTTCTATCTGTTCCAAGCTGTATCAAAATCTAATTTAATTCGAATTAGCAAAAAAAAACGAACTTATTTTTAATTCGTAGAAATATATAATAGGAATTTTACTTTTTCACGTAACGTGTTCATCACGAATATATCAAATAAATATATTAAGAATAAATGCAAAATCTTCTGTGAAAAACACTGACATGTAGAAGAATTTGTAGGATCCCTAATACTTAAAATATACGTTAACTGTTTGTAAAGAATTAGGCATTTAAAACTAACATTTTCTAAGATGGAGAATACATTCTGTTCTGTAATTATAAGTAAAATAAGAGCACCCGAGTTTGTGTTTTGGATCATATGTGTTTTTCTACACTGACCAAGATTTTGATGTATTTTAAAGCTTAATATATTTTGTTCTAGTAGGCCGATTTGGATGATTTTTTAAGCAATTTGTAGCTAATTTATTTGACTTTTTTGTATTTCTTTCTAAATTCAAATTGAATGAGGGAAAACAAAATGTTGATATTTTGGTGAAAGTTTGAAGCACCCTGTAGAATATGTTAACAAAGCAAAGAATTTAAAAATTATTTTATCATCTAGGTACGTCTTTTCTCGATAGTTTGCTTTTTGATTCATCTCGATAGCTTTATTTTTATCGGAGATATTCGCTTTTAAATAAGACAGTAACAATTTACAGCAATTTTAGCATTTATTTTAGATCCTCATCAACACACTTATAAAATAGTGTTTATTGTTTTTATAATGTGACTGTCATTCAGTGGCGGCTCGTCAGGGTAGGCAAGGTAGGCGGCGCCTACCCTAAAATTTTGGCAGAATTTAAGAGGTTTATTACATTACATTATTTACTATTAATGTTGCCAATACTGTTAATACACGGAAGTGTGTTATAATAATCAATATTATTTTAATATTTGTGGTCTTGTACATTAAAATATTCACTACCGCTGGCGTCCCCTGCGTTGGAAAACTAATAAAATAATTTTTACCGTTGGAACAAACGCCATACATCGCCTACTATCAGAGTCGATGCACGACGTACGGTAGTCTTCTGTCTCTGTCTAACTCAATCGTGCGGTAGCGACGTGACGTAAGTCGGAGTTGTATCGTATTAAGGCGGGGCTTAGGCGAAATCTCCGGTCGCCTTCGCAAGAAGTCGTGGAGGCTCGGTAGGCTTAGAAGTTAAGGGGATATTCCCGATATTTTATAAGGGGATATTTCATATGATTCATTATTACATAGCATTTAAAACTTTTATGAATATTCAAAAAACGTTTAAAACAAATTGGAAACGTTATTAAAAATGATATAACCGGTTGTATTTCAGAACACGCCACAGAAATAAAAGAATCCGAAATAAAAGAGCGCGTTATTCGGTGCAAGAAGACGATACAACAGATATTACAGAAAAGTGTGCTAATCAATTCGATATGTTAATAAATGTTATTTTATGAAATATTAGATAACATTGTTATACATTAGAAATAAGGTTTGCAGTAGACACAACTAAAATTTTGTCGCCTACCCAGTTACACGAGTCACGAGCCGCCAATATTATTATTTTTTATTGACGTTTACTCTAGTAGAGATGGTTTTAAATTCTAGTGTAGTAGGCACACACACAATTGTAGCTCTAATTATTATTGATCATTGTAGGGATCAACTTTTGGACTTAGTGCTAAAGTTTGGCAGCTTGCCCAACAAACAATAATAATATAATTTTTCAAAGACAATGACATTACATAAATCATAATCACTATGTTATAGGTCTTGACTAGGACCAAAAGCAAAGGCATGGTTTTAATGTAACAAATACGAAAAAATGTTAGTGTCTTCATCAAAAGCGAATATCTCCAAAATAAATAAAGATATTGAGATGAATCAAAAAACAAACTATCGAGAAAAGATACCCCTAAATGATAAAATGATTTACAAATTCCTTGCATTGTTAACGTACTCCACAGGGTGTTTTAAACTTTCACCAAAATATCAACATTTTGTTTTCCCTCGTATAATTGACATATGGCAACTTTCGTTTTTAACTTAGAAAGAGATACTAAAAAGTCAAGTAATTTAGCTACAAACTGCTTAAAAAATCATCAAAATTGGTCCGCTAGATCACAATATATAACACTTTAGAATACATGAAAATTTTAAGGTGTCCGTTTTTCGTACAGGTGAGTTTGGTTACGTAAATAATTTATTTTATGTCTATGTAAATCATTTTTTTTTCAACTTATCATAATTTAGTACAAAGTTTTTAACGTATCTTAATAAGTCAGAAATCTAACTTTATTATAATTAGATGTTTCATTAAATTTAATTTATCTAATATTTTTCTATGCAAAGATTTAATCTCGGATATTAATATACCTGTTTTATTCTGTTTGGAAGTAGGTAGTATTATTAGTAAATTTTATATTTTATAATAAATGTTATACAGTTAGTTTTTTTTTATTAAATTTGTTTTGTTGGTTGTGGAGGTAATGTGGTGACTTCAGACTAGATTTAGCTATAATAATAACCCACTTCAAAATTTCAACAATAATTCTATCTATCTGTTCATTGGTTTTTGGGAACTTTGGAAATAAACTAAAAATATATGTAGATATTTTATCCATCTAGTTGTATGACAGATTTTTCAAATTCAATTTATTACTAAAATATTCAATATTTCACTTTCTAAATTTGATATTTGTCTCCTTTTTGTATTTTCCAACGTATCACTACCTTAAAAATGTTTATTTTTTGTGTTTTACTTATATAAGAATGTTTATCTTATAAAAATCTAAATTGCTTATACCTAGTTGTTATTTGATTTTAACTATTGTGTGAGTTTAATTTTTTTATATTTACTTAGATACGAAACTGAACTCTGAACTCTACAGGGTGTGCCTATTAATTTGCAACAAATGGGATTTCTTATCATTGAATTATTGAAAATAAGTTTATGTTAAATTTCTTCCACATGTTTTTAGTACACCCTGACTCTCTATTACCTAAATTCACTTGAATACCTGAATTAAAAAGCATCCATAGCTATTGTTAAAAATGCATTTTGTTGACAAGCAGAACTAATTGTAATGACAGTTTATAATGTTAATGAGAATTTATAATTTAAAGTGAAATGTTGGATGGTTAAAATTGCTTGAAGATATTGTTCTCTGTAAATATTATTAATTGAAATTAAAAATTTAATTTTGTCAATTTAAAAAATTCAAATTGAAAATCGCTTCAAAAACACTTCTCTGTAGATTTTCAATCATAACCCAGTGGCATCAATTATATATTTCAATTCTAATTTATAATAAAATATATAATGTTGTATATTATTTACTGTTAATTTTGGTTTAGTATTATTATCGGTTAAGAATCGATTTAGATAAGGATTTTTTATTTCAAATTTTATTGTATGCATAAGATAATAACTTGCCTAAAAGTTATAGTACAATCAGAATTATTGTAATGTGACTTAACTTCAATTTAAATAAATATAAATAAGTATGTATATATGTTTTAATATCCTACCTGTAATAATTATTATAATACATTTTAGGTAGGGCTTTAAAATTTCACCAAAAAGACATGGAAAACTAACTATTACTTACCATCCTCCATATTTGCCAGATTTACCTCCCAGCAATTCTTTTTTCAGGCTTGTAAGTTCAAAGAGGACATCATTTTTGTAAAGGACTACCGAATGATTGAAAAAACGGCGTCAAGTTGGCGTAGAAATGACAATCGGTGACGACCATATATTTTACGTATAGACAGCAATCTGAGCGATCGCTTTTTCCAAGGCCAACTCAGTGGCACGCAGTGGCGGCGCATGGTTCAAAACTTCACCTCCAAAACACAGTTAAAGTATGGAGTACAGGGTGTCTCATTTTCGTGTGTTCTGCAGTGTTCCTCGCTTATATGTGGAGGTACAAAGATGCGGTTTTCACATCGCTATGCTACTTTTTTATGAAACTGCAGAAGCTACACACAGATTTGTCCTAGCCCTCTTAGTTCCTGAAATACAGGGCGAATTTGAAAATTTTGCATTTTTCGACTCCCCTCGTATCTCGCTTATTCTATAACTTATCTAACTCTGTATGTATCAGTGGCGTAACTAGTTTTTCGCTGACAACTGTCATTTTTGAAATGACTCAAACTTATAATTTTTTTAAATGGGTCACCCTGTATATATATTTTTTATTTTATTTGTCTTATGAACCTTCTAAAAATATATATAATAAACTCTATACTTATTAAAACGCAAGAAATGCATTATTTAACTTTTTTCAATACATATATATAGATACACGAAGAGGGTCGAAAATACAATGTTTTCGAATTCGTCCTGTATTTCAGAAACCAAGGGGGCTAGGACAAATTTGTGTGTAGCATCTTTAGTTGCATAAAACAGTAGCATGATGTGAAAACCGCATCTTTGTATCTCTACTTTTAAAAGGTAAACACCATAAAACACACGGAAATAGGACACCCTGTACACAACTAAGCTAAAGCCCCATTCTCAGAACAGCGAGTGTCGCTGGCGACACAGTTTGACGTTTCAAACAACCAATGAGAGCTGTACTAAATTTAAATTTGACAGCTGTTTGAATTTTGTACAAATCTGATTCGCTTTTTTGATGTGTCGCTGGCGACACTCGCTGTTCTGCGAATGGGGCTTCAGAGACATATCAGAGATATCTCTGTTTCATTTATTCCTGTGATTTTCTTAAGTTTTCTATCAATACATATCAGCTTTATTCTATGCATTTTCTAAATGAAAGCCTAAAATTTATAATCATCATTATATTTAGTATATATTGAAACAGTTTAACATGATAATATATTAACATTCTTATTCAATTTTCACATTTTTGGTGTGTGACACACCTAAATTATTTATAGACACATAACATTGGCACCGACTTCTCTATGAGTATTAATTCAGCCATCTTGACCAAACGGATCTGCAACTTCATTGTTAAGTCTATCTGTTGACTGTGATCTTATAAAGTCTTCCTTGACAAGTGGTTTATTAGGTTCTTCTTCATTTTCCTGGTCAACATTTTTAACCTGATTGTTTTGATCACCACTAGTTTCTTGATTATATGCATATGCAGTATTTTCCAAGCTTTGAGTGCCTGCCATTATAGTTGACTGTACATTTGGCTTTCTTACTATATCTCCTTTTCTCCACAGAGTTATTTCTTGTTGTTTAAAATATCTTCTATCCTCAGTATCCATAAGAATGAGATTTAAGAAATATCTCACAGAAAACTTTTTATTAATATCTCTCATCGTAGGCGTCAGGTCATAACCAGCTAAAAATACTCTTATCGGAATGCTTTCACCTCTGACTGGCGCACCATCCATGATCTCATATTTAGCAATGGTTACATTATCGGTGAAAGTATTAGGTCCAGAGCCTGTAGTTTCTCTCTTTATAATAGCAATTTCCATATGTTTAATTTTTATTCGTACCAATAAAAAGTAGATTTTGCCAACGATTACATCTTTTAAATGATATTTCGACTTGTTGTACTCAAATTCTATATGTAGACAATCCTCAATACCTACTTCCATCTTTATCGAATTATTCATTTCTGGATAGCTGCATAAGGTATGCACTGCCACATCTAATTCTTTTACAATATCTGCTAACCTACGTATTATTGTTACCCTAAGAAAGTATCTTAATCGGACGTTACCACCTGTATAGACTTCGAACGGCTTCTCTACATTACTGAACTCAAAAGGATAACTAGTGTGCGCAATCATTTCTCCTGGTCTAGCTAATTCCTTGACAAGTGAACTAAATTCATGATGATTGCCTCTATCATAATACAGCTCGATTTGTCCTATGAATTCAATTTTTATACCTTGATGTTCAAGTTTACTGCCTGGTTTTTTTAAGCTTACGTTGACCTTTCCAGACATTGTTTCTCCATCATAATATAATAATAATCTCTCTTTCTTTCCATCTTCTGTCTTAACATCTGCGATTTTCCTCGTTTCTTGGCCATCCAAATAAATATCAATTTCTGCAGATTGGCCAAAACCAAAAAAACTCATTATTAAAGCACAGATTAAAGTATAAACTTTCAAGGAGAAAGTGTTAAAATTCCGTTTTTTCTATACTGTTGTAGCAAATTCTTGTGACTATTTATGAATTAGAAATTTGTGTTAATTCCAGTGGTTCCAGTTAACAACCTATTTTAAAGCTCTCTGAGCATCCAGACACTTTAGTACTCACTTCAAGAATTATAAAAACTTAAGACTTACAGCAATTAAAGGAAAAAAAAATTAAATCAAGTCACTAAGGACCTATTTCTATGGAAAAATACTTATTTAAATCAGGATTTTTTTTGTATTTTGATATTTACTATTTCTGGGCACTTGTTTATTTTTGTTGTTGTCTTTGTCTAATAATTAACCATAGATTATAATTTAGACTCGTTCCTTTTGATTATTTTTTTTAGGATACTGGCTTAATGACCTATAAGTTTACGCCATTTAAAATGAAAAAGAAGAGAATCTTCTTCTTGATTGGTTTTATGACCTAAGCTGCCAGAACTATACGGTCAAAAAGAGAATCTATGGCAGATCTGTTGTTGCTCCTGTTTCGAGCCATAATTATAAAAGAGATGAAGAATCTTACTTTTATTCCGTGGTTACGGTTCTTTTAAGACCTGAAAAATGAAAAAGAAGAAGAGTGCAGGTGGCGCCATTGTGGAAAAAATGGGGAATTTTGGAACTAAAATTTCCAAGGTTGCCAAGATATTAGCGAAATCCTGAAATCCTAATCTAAATCAATATTTTTGTAAGTCTAAAATTAATTGAACCGTTACAAAATCATGATAAATCTTATAAACGTTTAATAAAACTGTGTCGCAGTGGAATAAATAACATCTTTTAGTCACAGCATTATTTATGCGAAAAAAATGTCCATTCTGTTTTACATATGTTCAATTTGACAACATGACAACGTTGACGTGCCATATTTTGCGTTGTTAACAGCAAGTCGTTATGCCCCTCTTACAATTTTTCTGATTTCTTTCTAGAAAAAGTTATTTTTCTGTGCACTACTTTAGTTTATTCTGTCCTTTAAGGCCTATTTAATCTCCTGAAAATGTAAGTACCCATTATTTTGCCTGTTTTGTATAGATTTTTTTACTTTCAAATATTCCAATTACATCATCATAAAAAGCTTTATTATTCCAATATTCATAATTTTCGTTTTCAAAATCGAGAATATAAAAATATTGATACATTTCTTGATGTCTCTATTGTACAATAAAAATGAAGTTACTTAGAAAATTGCTTTATGTTTTAGAAACATTTGGTATTTTATCGGCCATTTTTTTTGGTACAGTTTAAAGATGTTTTTTATTCCTAAAAATCTATTCTACGTCCTTTAGAACAAGTGAGTGTTAGATACCCTAAGGTGCCCCTATTCTCCACAATTACATTATATACACAAGGATAAATACTTTCCGATTAAAAAAAAATCCAGTTTTATAGGTTTTAATATTAAACGCTATCGTCATATGTTAACCAAATTTGCTATGAAAGAAGAAGAAGGATTTTATATAAGCCTCATCAGCTGCTGGGCCATTTAGTGGCAATCAAATTTGCTATGTTTTAATTATAATTTTCTTTTTTAGGAATCTTATTAATAATATGCACCAATCCTGCAAAGACCACCTAAAAGAAGAGGCCTGGATCACCACTTATATGATTCTGACGATTAGCTATTATTCTGGTTTACCAAATTGGTTTTACATTATCTGGTTAAAAGTAAGTTATTAACTTTAAGTAAGTTAAGGATATTAACAGACTAACCATGTTTTTTAAGATATCTTTAATATAAATATGAAACAAAAAATGGCTAATTAAAAAATGTATTATTATGTATTTCTTTTTTACAGCTTTTTTACAACAAATCGATGGATGTATACAGTTCCAGGGCAGTACATCTATCCTTTTGATGGATATTATGAACAATGCATCAGGACAAGTATATCTAAAATTTTATTTCTTTTGGGTAAATAATTATTTTTACTGGTTTTTAATGTTCATCTGAATTGGATAGTTTTGAAATATAATTAAGTAAGAAAAAAATATACAAAGGGTCTTTGAGTTACTTTTTTGTAGTTCATTATCATCACAGACAAATTCAGACTATCTATTTTTAATTTGGTTTAATTTTTGGCTTTTGGTAGAATACTATCTACTTAGAATTTTACTTCATGTTGTTTTTGGTTTTTGAAATAGCTTGACTCCCATATATTTTTGATTGTGGGAATAATATTATAATTTTTCAATCCTGTTAAATATTTCATTGACTGTATTTCTTATCGATTTTATTTGTTTGGTAAAATATACAATCTAGTAAGACTCTTTTTTTTCGTGTTGTTTTTGGTTTATTTTCATTTCTCTGTAATCGCTTAACTCCCACTTGTTCTCCATTGTAGGCATAATACATCATTCATCAATTCCATAAAATATTCCATTACTTGTATTTGTATAAGTCTTCTTTTATTTGTATTACTTTTCTTATGGTGTCGTGCTTGTAACTTTTTGCTTGTGTAATTTCCTGCCCAGAATTTTAATTTTGATGGATTCATTGTCCACGTCATTTTTCTTAGATCATATCCCATGAATTGATCTATTTTACGGATTCTGTTGATTTGGGTTGCCTCTAGTTAAATATAATTTAAATCCACAATTAATCCACAACACTTAAAATTTTCAAAATAAGGATAACTTTCCGACCAGTTCCTGGCGCATTTTGCCAGTTATTTAAAAAACCTGTTCACAGATTGTCACTTCTGGCCTTTCTAGCATTTTTCCAAAAAATTTCTTTAAAAATCTCGCAATAAGTATTAACTTCCAATCGATCCGTGGCGCATTCGCCATTTATTCGATAAACCTGACGTCCACTTCTGGTTTTTCTAGCATTTTATTTCTGATTAATTTTCCTGATGAGTAACATCGACTCCAGAGCATCATAACTAGCCTCCCCTAAGAGGAGGAGACCCGGGTCACCCCCTAACCCTGATGTTCGGCCATCGATGACCTATGTAGCATGCATAGGTACCCAAGGGAGTCACCACCCTCTGGTTTACGAGCTAGGTGTTCTAACGCTAGAGGCTTCGGCCGATACGACCTGGCACCCAAGCTACGAGGCTTCTTCGTGCACGTATTCCGTGACCCTCGAGGTGCAGGGACAGCAGGATATCGGACACATTGAAGATGATGAGGGGGGTCCGCCTGTAGGGGGTCCCGGTGGATGTTCGCTCGATGGGTGACGAGGGTGACCCGAGACGAGGCTGCTTAGCTGGGATGGGAACTGACTGGCGAGGCTTAATCGTCGGACAAGGGTTAAATCTGATGAAGGGGGGCGAACTTATATGCTCTGGAGGATTTTTATTTATGTGCTTTATGTCAAACTACTAGATATTCCTGAGAGGAGGCTTATAAGCATAATCTTTGGTAAATTTTCCAGTTTTTATTCACCACATACTTCTTTATTTTTTTTTTAATATCGTCTAAGACTTTTTACTTCACCTTGCTTTAAGCCCTACCTCTCTCTCTATTTGCCTGCCATATTTTTTTTTATTGGAATATCATTCATCAATTCTATATATACTCTCAAATGACGGTCTTGTATATTTGTATATTCTTTGTTATTCTATTCATCTTTATGCCATTTTACCCACTATATCTACCATTTATTTTTATCAATGCATCATATTTATATCTATTTCGGTATTTGTCTTCCATATATTCCTTATGGGAATGTGTCATTCAGTTCTGTGAACTCTTCTATTGATTGTATTTCTAAGTCTTCATATATGTATAATTTTTTGTGTCATTCTTCTGAGACTTTTCTAAGTCATGCATATTTTTTAATTCCCCATACCTCTATTTCCCTATTTGTCTTGCATATTATCTTCATTCTATAAAATTTATTATTTTATGTATTTTTTAATTATCAGTCATCATTTACTTGAAGAATGACATAATACATTCTGTGTTCTCCAAATTATTTTATTTCTATTGTCACTATAACGTTGTAATTTTGGAATCATTTTGAATCACTTTTTTTTCAATTAATCATACCATATAGAGTAAAACTTAGTTAAGCTTAATTGTAATTTATTATTTGTCTTTTGTGGTTGTACTTATAAATCTCTTTTATTTATATTATTGTTTATATTACTGCTATTCTCCCTCTAATAGGACTTCCAAGTCTTTAGTTTCATTTCTAATGAGGCCTATATAAAATTGTAGTTTTGAAATCATTTCTAATTGCTTTCTCTTCATTTTGTTTTTAAATCCATTTAAAGTTGAGTTTTTGTATGGGATATTGTACTGCTTTGGAACAAGGATTTTTTGAGACAGTTGCTCTTCAACTACCCTCTTTAAGATGCCATCAGGCTGATTAAATTCAACATTCAACAATGTAATGAGGATGAAATTCATCATTTGTCATCATTGAGAGGAACTAAACAACTTTAGGTAAATTATACTAAAGGATCTTTTTTTATATCAATTATATTTAATTAATTCCTAACACTATTGTATTTTTGTAATATAATAGGTGGATATAAATTATACAGAAATGTAATATTATTTATTTCTTTTTTTACAGATTTTGTACTACAAATCAATGGATACATACAGATCCAGAGCAGTACATTTATTTTTTTGATGAAACCACCCTCTTTAAGATACCATGAGGCAGATTAAATTCAATATTCAACAGTGGATTGCGAATAAAAGTCATCTTTGGAAAGGAAACTAAATAATTTAGGTAAATTATACTAAAACGTGTATTTTTTATGTCGAAAGTGTTTAATAAATACCTAATAATTATTGCATTTTGTAAAATGAGTAGCTATAAATGATTAATTTCAAATAAAATATTTTGGCGCACAATTTACTTTACTTTTATGCAACTATAAATACATTAATATTTTACATTATTTTTGTTCGGGCAACCATAAATACCTTAACGTGTATATAGAGTTGCGGATAAATAGACTAAATTTTTTAATTTAGTGTTTAACTGTTTTTCAATTATTGTAACTAAAATATTTCTTAATTACAAATACAGCTAACTTAAACCATGTTTTTTCCTTTTATTACTTTTAAAATATTTTTTTATGTTACGAAGATTCCTATACATATATCTTATATTTTCAGTACCCTATCAATTTACTGGTTATTCAAAGTTATACTGTATGGTCGAAAAAAAAAGACGTCCAGTTGGCTTGGAAATGACGATCGAAGGTATTCCTCATATAAATTTACATATAAAATGTCAGCGATCTTCATTTCATAGCCATCGCCGACACCGTTTTTTTTTCGATCATATCGTAGAAGTAATAATTTTTATTCAACTTTGTTAGTGAATAATCATTTAATTATTTCTTTATTTTTTCTTACAGAACCAAGACTTTCCAGAAGGGTAGCCAGAAGATTTATTTACCTCAACACAGACATCAGCATCTCCATCAGCCACTTTGGATTTTAATATACATTTTTATATTACTATTGTTAATACAAACTAATATGTTAATAAAGAATAATTAAAAATAAATGAATTTTATTCAATCAGTTAGATTAGAAGTACTGTCTAATCATGAAAAATAAAAAGACAAATACCTGATATTTCAACCTTTGGCAAAAATTGCACGAAAAATTTAAAATATATACCTCTTCGCTCTCATGTACTCCTGATACAAGTCTGAGAAAATTCAGTTTTTGACAAACACTGCACGAAAATTTTTAAACCGGGTCAAAAATCGCCGATTTCTATCAGGATAGCATAAGCGTGAAGAGGTAAGGAGCAAATTTCGTACCACACGTAAATATAGCATTAATCAACGATATTTCTGCTGGCTCTAGCACTTCGACCTCGTTTCCAAAATTCAACCCTTAATATCTCGGAAACTATAAGGGCTAGAGAGGAACGGAAGACGGCATTCGATAGGGAATTCAACCCTCTATAAGGGCGCAAAATAAGGGCACGATCGGAGACCAAAAAATTTCTTGGCGAAAAATGAGGTAAGGGGTTAACCTTCCTTCATTTTTGCACAAAATTTTTTTTTGTCTCCTATCGCGCCCTAATTATGCACCCTTATAGAGGGTTGAATTCCCTATCGAATGCCGTCTTTCGTTTCTCGGTATCTCTTATAGTTTGGCCGTAATGGCCGTTTTTCGAAAAAATCTAACTCGTTCGAACTCGTTGGTCAAGTCCTCTGATTTTTACCAAGTGGAATTTATTTTGACTACCTTTTGTTAAAAACTGACGCTTCGATTTTCGATCAGGAGCATATAAGAGCAAGTTCGTACAGCCGTTCACGAAAAATTGAATTTTCTCGGATATGTATCGGGAGTACATAAGAGCAACTAGGTAAATATTAGAACTCAATCTACTCCTTACCTCTTCACACTTATGTGTTCCTGATAGAAAATCGTTGATTTTGGATAAGGATTAAAAGTTGTAAAAATTTTTGCAGTTAATTAGGTATTATTTTTATATAAAATACTGTCTAATTCCAGAACAACTTTCTAAGTTGGTTAGTATTAGAAGGGTATTAGAATATGTTACTTTTGATAATTAAATGACCTGTATTTTTTGTTTGCGATTAGACAGTACTTCTAATAGGTTGAATAAAACTCATTTATAGTTATTTTTGTTTATTAATCGTAGGTATATTCTATTAACATTAGTAACAAAAAAAGTGTAGATATTAAAATCTAACGTGGGGATGGACATGCTGTCTATGCTGAGGTAAACAAATCTTCTGGCTACCCTTCTGGAAAGTCTTGGTTCTGTAATAAAAAAAAAGAATTAATTATTTAGTCCCTAACAAGCTTGATTAAAAAATTATTATTTCTATAACTTCAAACAGCCAGAGTAAATTTGTAGGGTATATGAAATTAGTTATATAGAAATTTGCGTAAAAAAAGAACTTAGTAGTAAAGTAATAAAAGAAAACAGATAGTTAAGTTAGCTGCATCTGTATTTTTGGGAAATATTTTAATTATAATATTTAAAAGTGTTCAAAACTAAAATAAAAAAATAAAACTATTAATATATGCAACTCTATATACACGTTAGTGTATTTATAGTTGCCTACACAAAAATATCTTGTGCGCCAAAATAATTTATTTCAAATTAATAATTATTTATATCTACATACTATACAAAATACCGTATGATCGAATAAAAATGGCATCAGCGAAATGTCATCGATCGTCATTTCCAATCCAACTGGATGCCGCTTTTTTTCGATCATACGGTATTAGGTATTTATTAAATATACTCGATTAAAAAAAAACAATTTCTACTCTAATCTACCTGAAATTATTCAATTCCTCTTCAATTATGAATTTCTCTCTCAATCCCCTGTTCAATGTTGAATTTTATCAGCCTGATGATGTCTTGAAGCGGGTTCGTTGATTAAATGAAATGCAGCTAGCCCAAAAAATCTTTGTTCCAAAGCAGTACAATATTCCATTCAAAAACTCAATTTTAAAAGATATTAGCTACTTAAATCTATACAATTCTATTTAAGTAACAAGTAAAATAAACAATATTGCAAATAAGAGATTTAGAAATACAATCAATATAGAAGAAAAACAATAAATTGTAGGTATTTGATAATATAGAAATACATAAATTAATACATTTCACAGAATGGATATAATATAAGAGACAAATGCAGAAATTGGGTATGTGGAATAGAAAAGATTGCATGAAAATGAGTGATGAACTAAGAAAAGTCTCAGAAGAATGACACAAAAAATTATACAATTACAGTTGAACAAATATATAGGAAGAGACTTGGGGATAGCACCGATCACATGTTATTTTATATTTCTCACGTCTCTAGCTATACTTGTTAAGTTGTGCATACAAATAAGAAGAAATACAATCAACGAAAGAATTATAGAACTGATGAATAACATTCCAATAAGGAAGAAAATATGGTTGTACAAATTGGCGAAAAAGAGATATGATGCATTGGGAAAATGGCATGAAAACGAATACAAAAAAGCTATAATTCTATTCAGACAAGAAAAATTATGAAATATGCATCAGAAAGATGACAGAAAAAAATTATATAAATACGTATATATTATGTAAGATAATTGGAAAAAATGGTATTAAAAAAATAAAGACGTAGCTGGTCAATAAGAACTAGAAAATTGACCAAAGATTATGCTTAGTTGCTTAGCCTCCTCTAATGAATATCTAGTCAAAATATGACTCAAGCACATAAAGAAAAATCCTCCAGAGCATATAATTTCGCCCCCTTCATCAGATTTAACCCTTGGCCGACGATTAAGCCTCGCCAGTCAGTTCCCATCCCAGCTAAGCAGCCTCGTCTCGGGTCACCCTCGTCACCCATCGAACGGACATCCACCGGGACCCCCTACAGGCGGACCCCCCTCATCATCTTCAATGTGTCCGATATCCCGCCCCCTGCGCCTTCGAGGGTCACGGGATACGTGCACGAAGAAGTCTCGTAGCTTGGGTGCCAGGTCGTATCCGGCCGAAGCCTCTAGCGTTAGAACACCTAGCTCGTAAACCAGAGGGTGGTGACTCCCTTGGGTACCTATGCATGCTACATTGGTCATCGATGGCCGAACATCAGGGTTAGGGGGTGACCCGGGTCTCCTCCTCTTAGGGGAGGCTAGCTATGATGCTCTGGAGTCGATGTTAATCAGGAAAATTAATTAGAAAAAAATGCTAGAAAAACAGAAGTGGACGTCAGGTTTTTCGAATAAATGGCGAATGCGCCAAAGATCGATTGGAAGTTAATCCTTATTGCGAGATTTTTAGGGAAATTTATTGGAAAAATGCTAGAAAAACCAGAAGTGATAATCTGTGGACAAAACAGTTTTTTTTAAATAAATGGCAAATGCGTCAGGAACTGCTTGGAAATTCGTCCTTATTTTGAGATTTTTAAGTGTTACAGTGGGTTTGAATTATATTTAAATACAGGCAAACCAAACCAACAGAATCCGTAAACTAGAGCAATGCATGGCTATATTATCTAAGAAAAATTACATAACAATGAATTCATCAAACTAAAATTCTGTGCAAGAAATTACACAAGCAAAAAGTTAGACAAATGACACCACAAGAAAAATAATACAAATAAAAGAAGATGTATACAAATACAGTCAATGGAATTGATGAATGATGTTATTATGCCTACATAGAGAACATATGGGAGACAAGCTATTATAGAGAAATGAAAGTAAACCAAAAACAACATGAAGTAAAATTGTAACTAGGCTGTATATTTTACCAAACAAATAAAATCTATAGAAATACATTCAATGAAATACTTAATAAGACTTAAAAATGATGATATTAATCCCACAATCAAAATTATATAGGAGTCAAGCTATTTCAAATGAAAGTAAACAAAGAACAACATGAAGTAAAATTCTAAGTAGATGGTATTCTACCAAAAACAATGAGAAATGCCCAAGAGTCAAAAATTAGCCCAAATTAAAAATAGATATTCTGAATTTGTCTGTAATAATAATGAACCATAAAATATAACTCAGAGACCTACTGTAATTTTTTTCTACTTAATTAAATTTGAAAATTATGAATTTCAATGGTGAACAATAATTAAAAACCAGAAAAAAATTATTTACCCGAAAGAAATAAAATTTTAGATATACTTATAAGTACTGCTGCATTGATCGTAATATTCATCAAAAGGATACAAATATTGCCCTGGAACTGTATACATCTACCAATTGTACAAAAGCTGTAAAAAAGAAATACATAATATTACATTTTTTAATTAGGCATGCTATTAATAATTATGTTTTATTTTGTTTCATTTTAATATTAAGAACATCTTAAAAAAATATGGTTAATCTGTTAATATCCAGTTAATACATTTATTAAAATCGTTTTTAAATAGGTAATAAAATAAGCTTACTTTTAACTGAATAATGTAAAACCAATTTTGTAAACCAGAATAATAGCCAAACATCAGAATCATATAAGGGCTGACCATTATTGTATCTTCTTTTAGGTGGTCTTTGCAGGATGGGTGTGTATTAATATCACTCTTAAAAAAGAAAATTATAATTAAAGAGTAGCATATGACGACAGCGTATAATATTAAAACTGAAAAACGTTTTTTTTATGCTGAAAGTATTATCCTTATTTATTATGTAATTGTGGAAATGGGGCACCTTTGGGTATACTAACGCTGACTTATTAGACCTAGAATGATAATAGACGCAGAATGAATACTTGATTACCTGAACAAACAAACACCTGAAAAGATACTTTTAGGAATAAAAAACATCTTTAAACTCTATCAAAAAAAATGGCCGATAAAATATCAAATATTTCTAAATATTAATAAGCAATGTTCTCAGTAACTTTATTTTTATTGTACAATAGAGACATCAAGGAATGTATTTATACTATCTATATTTCGATATACTTGATTTTGAAAACGAAAATTAAGAAAATTGGAAAAATATACAAGTTTTAATGATGATGTAATTGAAATATTTGAAAGTGAAAAAATCTATAGAAAACAGGCAAAATAATGGGTACTTACATTTTCAGGAGATTAAACGAGCCTTAAGGATTAGAATAGACTCAGGAAAATCACTTTTTCTATAACAAAATCAGAAAAATTTGAAAAGCAGCATAACGACTTGTTTAACACAAAATATACACAAAATGTAGCATGTAGCACGTCAACATTGTCAGATAGAACACATGTAAAACAATGGTAATTTTTTTGCATAAATAATACTGCGACTGAAAGAAAATATGTTATTTGTTCTACTGAAACACAATTTCTATTAAATGTTTATTAGATTTATCATAATTTTGTAACGGTTAAAGTTATTTTAGACTTACAAAAATTTTGATTTAGATTAGTTTCAGGATTTTAGGAATACCTTGACGTCCTTGGAAATATTTTAGTTCAAAATTTTCACACTTCTTTCATAATGGCGCCACTTGCATTCTTCTTCTTCTTAATTTTTCAGGTTTTAAAAGAACCGTAACCATAGATTAAAAGTAATGTTTCTTCTTCTCTTTTATATTTATGGCTCAAAACAAGAGCAACCCCAGATCTGACAGAAATTCTCTTCTTGGCCGTATAGTCCTGGCAGCTTAGGCCGTAAAACTAATAAGAAGAAGATTCTCTTCTTTTTCATTTTAAGTGGCGTAAACTTATGGGTCATTAAGCCAGTATCCAGAGAAAAAAAATCAAAAGGAACAAACCCAAATTACAATCTATGGTTAATTATTAGACAAAGACGACAACAAAAGCAAACAAGTACAGCAATAGTAAATATGAAATGAGGGACTAACGCATAACAAAAATATTTTTAGTTTATAAATTAAAGAATTCAACCGTTTTATGTGAAAAACGTTCAGGGTTCAAGAAAAAGTATGTCTGAAGGAGATGCCTTCAAATTTCTTGACAAGACTTCTACTACTTTTCAACGGGTAATCTAAAAAAGGTATGTACACCTAATGGACAACTTGAATTAAATACTAATTTCAGGATCTTATTAAAGCCCTACTGAAATCAAAATTTAGTAATCCAAAAACTAAAATATCGGAAGATGTTATCGATATTATTACTGAACTGGCCAAAGTAATGGCACTTGAAGCTGCTGGAAGATCGGCCCATATAGCACTGATGGAAAAGAAAAAAATAGTTGCACTTGAACATGTTGAATTAATATTACCCCAATTGGTAAGCTAATTTACTAAGAATGTAATAATTTTGATTTAAAAAACTATAATATGATTATTCGTACTATAGCCATGCATTTTAGGCATTTTTGACTCCCCAACTTAATTTTATTTTACAACACTCACATTCTCTAGTTGTACAATCTATAATTCTGATTCTTTTATTATAAAATATCTTATTTTTTAACAGTCTGTATTATTAATTTTGTTAAAATTGTTTCAGTCCACCTAATCTTACTATTTTTTTTTGTAGATGTTGGATTTCTCATAGTTATATGCCGCACTTGTTTCTGTAAACTTACACAATATATAATACAAAATAAAATAGTCCAAACTTAGAAATCTTGTTTATATTTCATATTAGTTCTTATAGTCCAGGTAGTGAATTTTTTTGTACTTATTTTCCCAGTGGGTGAACCAATTTGGTCATTTTAGAAGGGTGGCATGTAAGACAGAGAATAATATAAATGACCAGTTGACAGACAGTGACTGATAGAGAGACAAAATCAAAAGGGGCATACAGTGTTGCCGGTTTTTACATTTGTAGGAAAATTTGTGTAGAAAAAAAATAAACTATTTTAAAAACTTTCAGGTATACTACTGAAATGAAGATAATATATCTAAGCTAAATATAATCTATTACATCTGTATTAAAACAAGTAACTAATTGTGAAATTTGGCAATTGCCCAGTAGCAAAGCCAAAACCGAGACAAGACAAGACAACTAATTGTGAAAAATAAGGTTCCAACTCTAGATGCAACATTTTCCATAAACACCTACTTGTACGGTTTTAACCTATGATGCAAAATCTGGCAATACTGCATAGAAGAAATGTGTCAACCCCACTTTTGTCTCTTTTTAATACATTTGATTTTCCATTAAGCTGCTTACATCACTGTCTTACACATTAAAATCCAGACCACGCTTCTAAATTGACCAAATCAGTATATGAAATTTGCTTAGAATAACATACAGGATAATTCTACCGGTCTTTGCTGACTGGGAACATAAGTACTGAAAATCTTTACTGCCTCCTGGACTATTACCACAGATAACATAGTAATCTATGCTAATTTTACTATGTTATCTGTGCTATTAATAACAATAAAAAAAGACCAGTTTAACATAACCTTTAAAACAAGTCCATTTCATTATCCAAACTAATATCTAGAAAATCATCATCGTATGTTTTTAACTTTCCCCTAGAGTCTTCTAAGCCATCGTCATTTAGCTTTTGCGGACTGCATAGAAAGTCTTTAGATATCTGGTTTTGGGGATTTGAATCTGTACCATCGCAGCTTTCGTGATGGTCTGTTTCGGGACTGGGAGGTGGGTTTGTACAGTTAACCTCGTCGGTTTCTTTAATTTCTCGGTTGGAATTTTGTGCTGCAAATAACTTTGCACGGTTTAACAGATCTGGTAACAATTCCCTCCTTTCATTCTCTAAAAATTATATAATCCGATTAATATTATTTATCTTGTATATATTAGGCTGAGTCGAAAAAATCGACTATGTTTTTTTCACTTTATACTCTGAAAAAATGGTTGGTAGACACCAAGGTAAGACACCTCATAAAAATTCTAAGCATGCGCTCTTAATTTTCATAGGAAGGTCCTCCGCCTTTCTGTTCTCTATTTTTTCCTTCTTTCTCCTTTTTCTATATATTAGTAGGAAATTTAATTCTCTACAAAAAAGGTCACTTACAATTTTATTGTAAACCTCACCGTTCGAAAGTTATTAAAGGTTGAGAGTTTGATTATTGAGAGGTTGAAGGTTGATTATTTTAAGGCAGTTTTCTTTTTTCTTATGAATTTTATAACTTGTTAACTAAAAATCATTATGATGCGCGAAGCTCGTGGTTTTGTAGGAAATTCACTGTTCTACAAAAATGGTTTCTTATGATTAGTCGATTAAATTAACCGTTTAAAAGATATTCATCGTCAAACTTCAATGCACAATAATTTTAACAAATTTAATTAATAATTCAAACAACTACAATCCAATTATATCTCAGTTGATAATTAAATAAAAAAAAACTTTTTGATAACAAATTGAATTTTTTTTTCTTCTAGATCAAAATTTTTTATATTAATTTTGTCAGGAAAATTTAATGAATCATTGACTCTAAGTTACAAAAAATGCAATACTTTTTTGTTTCAATGGACCCACACTTGCTTAGGACTAAAAAAAACTAGAAAAAAAAGTTTAAAACCTTTCTTTGTTTATAGAAACTGAAATTTATACAAATTTTCCCGAAACTCTTAAAATAATTTGGAATTGTTCAAATTATTAATCAAAAACTGTTAAAATTATTGTGCATTGAAGTTTGACGATGAATATCTCTTAATCTGTTAATTTAATTGACTAATCATAATGTAACCATTTTTGTAGAGCAATGAATTTCCTACAAAACCATCAGTTACTCGTATCATAATAATTTTTTGTTAACAAAGTTATAAAATTCATAAGAAAAAGAAATCTGCCTTAAAATAATCAAACTTCAACCTTCAATAACTTTCGAACGGTGAGGTTTACAAAAAAATTGTAAGAGACCTTTTTTGTAGAGAATTCAATTTCCTACAAATATATGAGATACACGATATATCTTTTCTCTGAAAGGCGGAGGACCTTCCTATTAAAATCAAGAGCTCATATTTAGAGAGTATTTACCAACCATTTTTTCAGAGAATAAAGTGAAAAAAAGTCAATTATTTTGACCCACTCTACTGTATATTACTACTGATATAGAATGATTCTCATCTTAGATTTTGTAAATTTAATTAGTTTTAAAGTGTTCTCACTTGTCTCATCTTTAATCTTTTGAAGTTTCTCTTTCCTTTTGTCTTTAATTATTTTCTTGTACTTCTGTTTCTCTTCATCGAATATCTTATTTCTTTCTTCTAAATTCAGATCCTTGTCATGTCTCACTAAAAACAAAAAAACTCCACCTGGAGTCCTCCTCCTTGTTTGATTCTGAAAATCATCATCTTCATATATTTTTTTTTAACTTTCAAGCTATATATCTTTGTTTTTTACCATTATTAGCATTCCACCCTCCTTTTCTATTCTTTGAGCTTCCTCATATATCTTAAATGTTCTTTCTATTCCTACTACATCCAGCACTCTTACTAAAAAAAAATGGCTAATATAAATTTCTAAACTTCATAAATAGACATACATATTAAGTCTTCCCTTTCTTCGCCAAGTTTATTTGCCATATCTGTGGCAATTTCATTGATGTCACTGGTAATATCCACTTTTAAATCTGGAATCAATCTTGATGTTCCTTTGATTTCCGTTTCTGGACTATTTGATCTATGTTTTTGTCTAAAAATAAAATAAATTAGATTAAATTAACCTTTTTTAACTAAACAAACCTAAAAAGCTTATTTTTTCTATCAGCCCTGGTTCTTTTGTTTCCTTGAGTTGCCTCCAGTTCTTCATACATTTTTGCGGCAAGTGAATAATCATATGATTCAACATTACGCGATCTATCTCTTATACTAACATCACAGCTATTCATTGTTTCAGCTTTAATATTAGAAAATTGTATTATTATATAGAAACTTTTGTATATTACTGTAACAAAAACTACCTAAAACATCTTCCTGGGCCCGGGTACTCCAAATGTCATACTTTTTCAACTTGTTTGGCTTAGGTATAAGTTTTGGAATAACTTTAATTTTTTTTGGTTTTTTACTTCGGGGAATGCCAACGTCAAGATCACTGTCGCTACCAGAAGATTGTTGTTCCTCTTCACTTTCACTGTAATGAGTATCAACAGGAAACCTTTTTTGTGGGATATCTAAGGCATAAGTTTGGGGCCTCTCCAGAGGAGTATAGACTTCAGTATCGTCATCGTCTTGAATCTGGAAATAAATGGATTAATTGTGCAGTGTTAAAACTAATGTCAGTGCTCACTTCTCCCTCTTCAAGATTATTTTCATCTTGATCCATTGTATAATAATGATTTAACTGTCAGTTATAAAAATCGTATGCACATAGATATTTGTTGCTAACTTGTATATTTTATCCTTACTTTAGGAAAGAACTTATCAATTATATTCTTTCAAACTTTCCATCTTTTCACAAAAAAAAACAATAACCAAATTAAAAAGTTGTTAAACGTCAAACTGGTACGTCAATGTCAATATCGTCATTTGTCAACTCATTTGAACTACCATTGAAAAATATTTGCCACCATATACATATCAAATATTATAAATATATGTCTACCACCCGCTTACTGGCGCTTACTACCAAATTGCTACCTAACTTCACTGGGTACTTTTCTACTTTTCGTCCTCGTCCTTTAAATTGTGAGAAATAAAACCGGAATAATAAAACTTTGAAGTGTTATTTCTTGGCTATTTTGATTTGTTTCACGTTGTTTTTAAATTGTATAACTAAATTGTTGTTATTAATTAATTCGAGTTTTTATAGTTTTTTGAATCGTATATAGCAATAGTTCAAGAACTTTAAATTTCTTAAAAACAGATAATATTAGGTAAGAATATAATTTTAAATGCATAATTATGTATTGTCATGTTACTCAACTGTTTTTTCAGATAAAAATGACTTCAACAGTAATAGAGTTTTTGGTCAAAATGACCTGTAAAGCATGTGTTGATGATATTCATAAAAGTTTAGATAGTGTCGTAGGTATTAAAAAAGTCGACATTAATCTTGAAAAGGGCTCTGTTGTTATTGAAAGCACATTATCTACTCTAAGATTACAAGAATTACTTGAATCCACCGGCCGACCTGTTGCAGTTAAAGGTGGAGACTTTGTAATATTATTGGATTGTTTCTATGCAATAACACTTTTTTATAGGCTATGATGGAAGTAGCGCAGGTGTCTCTATTTTGGAAGCAGGAGACGCTAATGTAAATGGAGTTGTACGATTTGTACAAGCAACACCAGATGTGTGCATTATTGATGGAACAGTTGATGGATTACAGCCTGGTAAACATAGAATAGCTATTTATGAATGTGGTGATATATCTAGAGGTAATGTTTATAAATGTTATAACTTATAAATTTAAATGAGTCTCTTTAGGATGCAAAAGTATTGGAAACATTTTTAATCCCGACTATTACAATGTAAACAAAAAGGTGTATGGAGATATAGGAAAAATATCGGCAGAAAGAAATGGACGTTCTGAATTTCGATTAGAAGATAATACAATAAAATTATCAGATGTTTTAGGAAGAGCATTTGGAATTGGTCCTGAAGTAAGTACCAGTACAGTATCAGTACTCTTGCATTTTTTCTTTCATTTATTACTTGTCTATAAATAATTAGGATACATCAATTTGACTTGGGTTTTTCAGTAGTGCATGTGGTGTTTTTGTTATTATGTTTTCTACATTTTTATTAGAAATATGTTTTTTAACATTTTTAATAGCTAATAACGTTTACTGACAATTGTAAAACAAAACTAACAAATTATTTAGTCTACCTTTTGAAATTTTGCGAATTTGTTGCGCTTTTCTGGGCTTCTATCTATATGTACTTATTATATAATATTAAAATATGTGTTCAAATTTAAAATACATTATTTTTAAATGATATTATTCATGTTTAAAAGCAAATAATGTTAAATTTGAACATAATTTGAACTTAACATCGATGTTTTGCGTCGATGCCCATCACTAACACACGTCAACTTAACGAAGAAGAATACAACACAACATAACCCATTTTTTTAAATTTGATTTTGTTGTTTTTTACCTAAATCATGAACTCAAAATATACCATCTCAGCAATTCCTCAAAATTTGAGCAAGGAAGAGACAATAGTTCAAATAGTTGATGTTTTAGACCAATTAACTGAAATTACAAAAGACGTTTTATCTCGGGTGGATAAACGAATCCAAACAAATCATACGAAGCTTTCAAATATATCAAACAGGATAGATGTGGCAGCGTCCAAAATCAAGCGCTTAACGGAGCAAAAAAAGCCACTACCGTGTTTTCAAGTAGTAAATATCCAGGCCTTGATGTAAAATGTGATTATGAATCGATATTTAGTGGCGGATCCGATATAAAGTTACAAAAACACAATGTTAAACATACAGCTTATTCATCCGCGTACGAACCTTTAAATAAATTGCAATTCTTTCACGTGGAAGTCCCCGATGAAAGGGATGATAGTGTGTTAGAAGGTCTTGGAAACTTACCACCAAATATTACAGGTGTCTGTGACTTGCTTCTTTTTAACACAGGCAAAAATGTTTATAAAGAATTCGGATACATTGATTCTTTAAAAGGAAATGAAGTAGTAAGTGAAACAGTGCACATAAATACATCTGAATTGGGCCCAGCACCTCACTCTATAAGTCAGAGATCGTCATCCCTACACCAAGGAATAGAGGAATCATATTTTTACAAACCAAAAGTAGAAGAGTTACCTGCATTAGATGTGCCTTTGGATCTACCAGACTTACCTGGCGTTGCTGGTGACTTGAGATATGAACTTGATGTTGACACTAGCATAGCACCTTCTGCCTTTAATCAAAATAAAGTTACCGCAGACAAGCTAGATTTACCCAGTGTGTTTGAAGTAAAAGATAATGTGGATGCAGTGTTGTCTAATCCTCCTCCACCACCTCCACCTCCAGAAAATGTACCTAAACCTCCACCAATACAAGAGCCACCTCCAAGAGTTGTTGATGTAAAAGTAACAAGTTCTGAAGATCCAACAAATAATATAAGTAAGTAAAATGATACAGTTATATAAAGCTTACTATTAATGCCATATGACAGAAAAAAACCGCGTTACGGTGGCCTTTCAAATTTAAATTGATAATAAAGAATTATCTGATTTTCATCATACAGGGTTAGGCAATAGTGCATCGGGCATCTGTAGCTCCTAGAATGAAAAACTTGGGAATTTTGTTTAAGTGCAAACCTAAAGTATGTACTAGGATATGTTTCAGGAAAATATTTTAACTTCTACAGGCTGGCTCAAAAAAGTAGGAGTGGATTTTTTTTTAAATAGAACACCCTGTATATTATTGCTTTTTTGCATTCTTTCAGATCAGTTTACGTAATATGAGTAAATATATTTCGATAATTTCAGATAGATTAATAAATAAATAAAAAATATTTATTTTTTGGCTTATTTAAAAAAAATATTCAAAATACAAGAACCGTCCTGAAATCAAAACTATAGTAGACATTTACTTTATATCGTCTGTTGTTACTTTGCTATAAATATCGTCATCTTAAATCATACTGGGTGTTCAAAATTTTACGCGAAACTTGTAAAAATGTAACTGTAATGTGTAAAATATAATATAAATTTTCTTTGTTTTTTTTTTAAACGGAACACCCTGTATATACTCTAAATACAAAAAAATGTTCATTTTTTATGTCTCCTTCTATTAAAAAAATAATATACAGGGTGTTCCAAAAAACAAACAAAGAAAAATTATTTTATATTTTAGAAAGTTGGGCGTAGAATTTTGAACACCCTGTATGATTTAAGATTACGATATTTATAGCAAAGTAAGCACAGACCATCTAAAGTAAATACCTAATATAGCTTTAATTTCAAGACAATTCTTGTATTTTTAATTATAAGTGATCAGAAAGCAAGACAAAAATGCAGTAATTTACAGGGTGTTCCATTTAAAAAAAATGAGCTACCCTGTAGAGGTTAAATTATTTTCCTGAAATATATTCTAATACATATTTTGCACTTAAACAAAATTTCTAAGTTTTTTATGTTAGGGGCTACAGATGCCCGAAGCACTATTGCCGAACCCCGTATACGAATACACTCGACACATACTGTATGTAACATGTGACATACGGTAATCGCAAAACAATTTTCCGATGCACGTCATCAATCATATCGAAATTGACACTAAAGTCTATAAACCTAACTAAATGAAATTTTAGCCAAAAATGTTTAAATTTGTTGTATAATTTAAGATACCGAGCAGCTTATCATTTTACTTTATAAAGCAAATGATTGTAACAGATATTTTATTTAGATTAAAGCTTAAAAAATGAGTTTAAACCGAATTTTATTATCGTTATGTTGGTTGGTTTTATTATCATTGCGCCCTGTTCAGCAACGTTGTCGTTTATTATTTGACAATTATCCTAATGTCAGTCATTATTTTATATAATATCGTGTTGTTGTTGAATATTTGTGAGTAATTCTGTTTTTTGTCTATTTTCATAGTCTTTTTGTAAAAATTGTACTTTTAAGCAGAAACAGTTCTTTTAAGAACTAAATTTTCGAGTTTTTGTATTGCATTTCTTCAAATTGTGTGTTGCATTGTTATGTGCCGAAGTATTTGAACAGTTGAAGCAAAGAGTTAAAATTACCCTGATTAAAGTTACCCTGATAAACTATTTTGAACGAGAACCTGACAATAAATGTTCTTTATTATCCTTGACTGCAATCAGAGAAGTAAGTTTGATTGATAAGCACATTACACCACTTTCAAAGTTATTTCTACCTTAGTTTTTATTAAATTCTGTGATTTTAGTTTGTGCATTAATAGCACCCTCTCACTTGTTATTACCACTTATGGCGTTGTAAGATGTACACAATAAATAAATAAATATCCCATAATAACGCTTAAAATAATCTTCATAATGGACTAGTTTTTGCCAATATGTAATAAGTAAAATAAACTATAAAACAAATAAATCAATTAATTACTAAAATATCAGTTATTAAATTAAAAATAAAATTTTTAAATTAAGATCATCTCATAAATCCATCACAATCTGGCAGCGCTGTCGCCATCGCTTGTCACTCAAAGTTGATCACGTGCATCGGAAATTGTTTTGCGATTACCGTATGGAAACCTCTTTATAATCACTGTATTTACTTTAAAATTCCTGATTCTTTTTACAGCTACAACGCCGGTGCCCATCGCCGCACCAAGGGATATACCTCCACCACCTCCCTGGTCCCCCGCACCTGTCCAACCTCCTCCTATCACCGCACCTCCCATTCCCGATTCCAGAACCAACCTGATGGAGGCAATACGACAGGCCGGTGGTTCCCAGGGAGCCAAACTGCGAAAAACAAACTCCGACCAGCACCAGTCTGCCAGTACGAAATCTACAGCGCCATCTGGTGACCTGATGGCGGACCTGCACTCGAAACTGATGTTGAGACGGAAGGGTATATCGGGAACGAAGAAACCGGAAGAAGTTCTGAGTGGAGAGTCGACTCTGGCAAAGATTTCGTTTATGATTCCTCCGCCGGACCCTAAAGAGGATAACGAGAGTAATGAAGGGTCTAGCAATGAAGGCGATTGGGATGATTAAATGTGTTAATTTTTGATGCAATATATCCGGTATATTATGTGATATTCGTATTGTAATTAAGTGCAAAAATATGTTAAGAATAAAATATTTTATATATTATATAATGGAATGTAAGGTCTTGTTGTTAAGTATAACTAATGTAGGAAAATAAATTTATTATTTTGATAATAAAATTCTTGTTGACTTTTTATAAATATTTATCTACGTCAGTGAGTTAAGAAGCTCTTAACTCACGCATTTTTATTATCATACTCCTTGTTTAGATGACTACCAAAGAGAAAAAAATATTTTGTAAAACATTTATTTTGCACTAAATTGGAAAAATATGTTATGAGTACCTTTTCATTTCCATAGTTGTGCTATTTTTTTTCGGTGCACCATTTTTCATACTTATTGTATGTATATTCATACTTCTGCTTCGATCTTGCTGGAAGCAATCCAGAAATGGCTCTGAATGCCTCTTCTTCAATGTCAGAGGGAATACTTTCCGAATCGCTCATTTTTAGGGTTCCGTACCCAAAGCCAAAGGGTAAAAACGGGAACCCTATTACTAAAACTTCTCTATCCGTCCGTCTGCGTCTATCACAAAGGTCTATTATGAACCGTTATATATATCCCATAATATATAGCTAGACAGTTGAAATTTTTACAGATAATGTATCTATGTTGCCGTTATAAGAACAAATACTAAAAACAGAATTAAATAAATGTTTATAAATAAAAAAGTACTTTCACTAAACATTATCTTTTAAGTAAGAATTTTACATAGAATCTTTCAAGTCATCGGTGGCCGCGTGGTTAAAGGGTTAGGACTTTACGCTGCTATGACGTTGGAGCCGTAGTAAGGCAGGTTCGAATCCTAGCCAAGGCGACTTTTTTTAATCGTTTTTTTGAAATTTTTACATATTTATTTTTACTTTTTACATATTTATTATTGATTAATACAATTTTTAGTAATGTGTTTCATTTTTTTAAATTACTTATACGCGCATTCAAAATTTCAGCTAAATCGGAAAAAAAGTTTATAATAATATAGTGCCTAATGTTGTATTAAAGATAATGAATGGTACGGAACCCTTCGTGCGCGAGTCCGACTCACACTGACCAATTTTTTAAACTAGTGACATCAATATTATTTACTGTCATATTGACATTGAACAAAGGTATTAAGGTAATTGATTTTTAGGATAGGTATATAGTTAAATACAATAATTTTTAAAATTCATTGTGTGTTTTTATAGTTAGACGTAGATAAAATATTGTACAATACACGCGAGTTAATTGTTTATTAATGATCCTGTTAACTCACTTGTATCCATGCTTGTATCCTATGTTTCTAATTTAGAATAATGTCAAAGGTTTGATGGTGTAAATGTCCTCATTTTTGATAATATAAAAAATATGCCCACAAAATTATAAACTTATTTTTTTTTACAAAATAACTGAAAGAATAAATGCTTGAAAACAGGGAAAACAAATATTTTAAAATTAAAATAATTAAATTTTTGATGAAATAGTTTTAACTCTTACATATGTCATGTAGTGTTTTTTTAAATACCAAATCCTAATTATTTATGATAAGTTTATTTCCAAAAGGTGTCAACTACAAGATGCTTCTAAGCAAAGTATTTCAGATATCAGTTACAGAATACTTTCGAAAAAGGTATTTGAAATACTAGATATAAAAAAAAGTATTCTCTAAATACTTTTATTAAAATAAAATACTTTTTGAAAGAAAACATTTTTTTTTTTAAAGTTTAAGCTAAATAGCTTATTACATTAATAATAATAATAATAATAATAATAGCTCCCGTATATAGCGTTTAACGCCTTGAATGATATAATAAGTCACATCTCTGTGTCTCATTATATAGATTTTTTAAATTTAAATTTAAAACTATACTCTTTTTTTAATTATTAGCATAACAATGGAGAACCAATTGCTTGTGGAATCATAGCCAGATCGGCAGGCCTATTTCAAAATCCGAAGACTATATGCGCTTGCGATGGGACAACCATTTGGGATGAGGTGGCGAAACCAAATTCAAAATCAAACTTATAACATTTCTTGAAATGGAAGATAATGTAGTGTTTTTTACAGGGTATTTCTTGTTCATGTAGCAAGATTCTAGAGTCGATAGAAAAAACTTGTTATATCAATTATTTAAGTTCAATTATTTTTTTACAAATACTCCAGTCTCTGGAGATACATAATATCACAGACAGATAAAGCCCAGGGAAATCATATAGGACTTTTTGTACATTTGACTTTCAATATTAAGAATGGCTTAAGACTTTAAAAATAACTGTTATCTAGTTTTGTTACGTATTTTTTACATTACATTTTCTACAGTTGTTAATTTACTTTACGTTAAATAGGTATACTTATTTTCGTAATGCTTATTACTAAGAGGAAATTAGTTTTGAATTATGATATGCATTTGTTAAGGTTTAGGTTATAATTATTGTATAATAGTTAACAAATATATTATGTATATTTATGATGAGATACAAATATTATATGTAGGTTTTAGAAAAGCAACCATATTTGTTATTTTTAATATTGTTTCAATAAAGCTGTTGATAAAAAACTTGTTTTTTTATTTCAAAATTATACTGATGCTTAATAAATTTGTAAGGCATTTTAGCAAATATTATCTATTAATACTAATAACTTAAAATAAAGTTAAGTATCTATGGATTTCAACAAGAAAAAAAAATATATTTTTAAAAATTAATAAAATGAATAAAAATTTATCTAAATACATAGTTTAATTTTATTAATTGTGATTAATAAAACTGCGTTTATCTCATCAAGGAGGTCGAAATCGACAAAATATCAAGATAGAACTTTCAATCGGCGTAAAACGGTCTACATAATTTTGCTAACAAGAGAGAAAAAGTCAGTGGCGCACCTGTTTTAGAAAAATATTCCAGTGATAACCCGTATGCACGTCCCTGGTGAATATGTTGACACTTTTTTAGCATTAAATAGTAATTTTTACCTTCAAAATTTCATTCGAATCGCTAAAACCACTTGGAAGAAAATTATAATAAATCGAAAAAAAATGTCTTTAAGCCCTTGTAGTTGCGAAACAAAGCAGAATCACCCCACGAGAGATGGCACATGTTTTTTGAAACACCCTGTATATAAGTCGGTGTTTTACAGCTATATTGCCGTTTCTCAAATTGTTTTTGATTTTAAAAGTGTTATTACAAGGGTTTAAACAAATCAATGTGTGTAAAGCACCTTTATAATGGATAAAAAATTAATTCTTTTTATAAAATAAGACATTTTGAAAAACAAAATAACTTACAATGGTTAATAAATGGAATATTTGATAATTTCAGCGTCTGGTTAATAGAGTCTTCATTTACTACATATAAATTTTAGGTGATACTTTGATTATGGAATTTTAAAGTAATTTCAAAGATTAAAAAAAAACAATGGGCGTTGGTAGATATTAGTCAAATAAGCATTACGAGTATAGCGATATACATACATAAGTACTTGTTTCGGCGGAATTATGACTCTTTAACATACATATTTATTATGTATGTTTGTATTTAAAATTTGTACAAGGAGGACAATAACTCGATGATTTAATATTATTGATAATTTTCTACATAGGCGTGCATTATCGGGAGCTTTATTTTGCTCTTCTGTTAAAAGTTTACAAAAACAATATTTTCTTTAAATATATATTAAAAAAAATGTTATAATAACTTTTCAACGTTTCTATTTTTTAATTATTTAATTGAAAAATGCACGTGAAGATATGACTAAATTTATTAAAAAAATATTAAGATTATTAAACAACTGAAAACAAAATTAATGGTCCTGGAATCTTGAAAGAACCGAAAAAATTCAGTGGTTCTCAAAATTTAAGGAAAATAATTTTTGGAAATTTACAAAGTAAAATACCTGGCCCAACCTGGCCCAGAGCTGCAAGCTTCCGGAAAACTTACGTCTTTTTTTTATTTAAATCATTTTAACGACTTAAGTCATTTGAATTTAAGTCATTCTTCGAAAGCTGACTTAAGATTTAAAATTTAAGTCTTTTTGAAAACGATCTGTCGTTTAACTCTTTATTCCGAAATAGAAAAAGATTTTAGATAAGACTTAAGTCATTAAAAATATTTAAGTCTTTTTATAAATGGCTTTAAGTCAGATTTTTATATATTTTTATGATAAATTTTTAAAAGCTGGGGATTTCTCTTTAAACTATTAGGCGGCGGCGAAGCAGCAGAATAAAAAAACAATGCTCAATACCACTAGTAAATAAAACGTTAGTTTTCCAGAACAGGTTTTGAATATTTGTCGTGTTACGCGTGCGTAGTGAGTCTGTTCTGTTGTCTTTCAAGTGAATCCCCGACTCTGTTATGTAGCTCGGAAGACGAACGAAAGAAATTTATCTCGAATATATTGAAGAGTACCTTAAAATCCTCCAGCCCCTTAACTTATGCCATCGATATATTGCATAGTGATCAAAACACATCACCACTTTTTAATAGACATGTATTCGATGACATCTATCTGTAAAGCGGCCCATACATTATCAAACAAATTGCGCAACGCGGGCTGTTGCGCAACGAGTTGCCAATGTATGGTAGTGTTTGATGCGTTGCGCAATTGCTTGATGAGTTTCAAGAATGTTTGAATTCTTTTGTGTAACAGGACTGTTTGCACAACGCGTTGTGTAGTGTATGTGTGTTGCGCTTCGTTGTGCAATATTTTAATTCTTTCATCCAAATTCTTTATTTTCTTTTTTGTTTTTTGGTATTATCGACATCATCTAGGGTATATGTATACGATAATAATTGACGCAATGGCAATTGAGGACATGATTGTTTCTCAAACAATGCACAACTTTTAATAAAAAAGTTTGATCAAAATTTTACGTGCATGGGTGATGCAGTTGTGCAACGGAACGTTGCGCATCGCTTTGTTGCGCAACTTCTTTGATAGTGTATGGACCGCTGAATCAGTCGTGCAACGCAGCGTTGCGCATCGCTTTGTTGCGCAATTTGTTTGATAATGTATGGGCAGCTTTACGCTTCGTTGTGCAATATTTTAGTTCTTTCATCCAAATTCTCTGTTTTCTTTTTCGTTTTTTGGTATCATCGACATCATCTAGGGTATATACGATAATAATTGACGCAATGGCAATTGAGGACATGATTGTTTCTCAAACAATGCACAACTTTTAATAAACAGTTTGATCAAAATTTTACTAAGTGCATGGGTGAGGCAGTTGTGCAACGGAACGTTGCGCATCGCTTTGTTGCGCAATTTGTTTGATAGTGTATGGACCGCTGAATCAGTTGTGCAACGCAACGTTGCGCATCGCTTCGTTGCGCAATTTGTTTGATAATGTATGGGCCGCTTAATGGATACATACTAAGGGCTGGCAAAGGTTAGTCTTGGGTCGAGATTTCCGTATGTAGGAAGAATACAATGCGTTTATAATGTACTGAACAAAGAGAGTAAACACGTTGCCAAACGTATGAAATGAATCGAGAAACTGTGCACATTGCTAAGAGACGTGGAAGGGGATATAGCAGATTTGTCGCAGTTGACCGGTCGACCCAGTCAGTACCTCTGTCAGTACTTAAAGTTCTAGGGAAAGGTGTACATCATGCATTCAGCTTCACGGTTTAATTACGTCTCGTGATACTTTATTTTTGTTTATTTATTAACGAGTCGTTGTAATTTTCTCTATAGCTTGAAAATTTTTAAGTGCATGCTCCAAACACTTGCATTTTTGGTAAAAATAAGCGGAATTGAGTTGGTTTTCGACAGTGGTCGGGCTATTAGAACTCTGAATTCAAAAATCGATATCTCGAAATCTATTAGAAATAATTGATTGCAGTTTTTTTCAAAAACTTTCTTAATATTTCTGCTGTATTTTTTCGTAGACAGTAAGTGAAAATCTTTATCAATAAAAAAATTACACGACTGCTGAAAATTGCTATGCTCTAAAAGTAAATAGATGGTTGTTTACAATTTTTGAATGGAAAAAAACAACCTTATCGAATTTTTCTTATGTAAACATGTTGTAAAAGGTCCTATCTTCAAAATAAAAAAAGTTTCAATATCTAAAGTATTTCTTGAGTTATGGTGTGTTATGTGTTAAAAATTATTAAGATTACTGACGTTTTCCCGTTATAAAAAAAATGATACTTAAAGATATCCTTATAATTCCATTTCAGATGCTCACAAACATTTATAATGATTTTATCTAGTCATTTTTTCGAAAAAAAGTCTTAAAAATAAGCGGTAAAATAAAATTTTACTTTACTTGATAGGGAAAGGCATACCGGCAACGCCGCAACAGCACTCCGTCGCATTTCTCTCACTCCGACAATAAGATCCCTATGCGATTTACTTCCACACACATTTAAATACCGACCCAAGAGTAACATTTGCCAGCACGGTATAAAGTACTACAAAATCGGTTCAATTCTGTAAAAAAAACATATTTTTGTGTTTGTAGTATTGATTTTTGAAATGACTTGTTGCAGCTCTGAACTGGCATATTTTGGAGTTATTTGAAAAAATGCAAAGAGTAAATATATTTCTTATACCGTAATCTAGCAGCCCTGAAAATATTTTCACATATATAATCACTCCAAAGACTATTCCTCTAGTAATGATTCTTTAATTTTAAGAAAAGATAAATCTATATGGAAAATATGAACAATTTTAATTTAAAAAATCATATAGCACACCACTGCCAATAGCAATAAGGTCAACATACTTTACGGGTTTTACCTAACCCATCCTATTCTTTTGATCTTAAAATATTCATTCATTATCACTTCAGCTGCTCTAAAGTACCCTCATCAGTCACCATGTAACTGTACTCGAATAAAATATAAAAGAAAAATATGTCCGCGTTGAAAAATTAATATTCCCTAAGTTCTCAATTTTTCTATTTCTTTTTTTTTATATAAATTTATTGATATGTTGAAATACCTTTTTGCATTGTTGTTTGTACGTTTAATCCAATGTGGAACTTTAAAAGAAGCACGTTTTTTGAACGATGCTATGAGTGAACACGATTTGGCTTACTACTTTCAAACAACTGATAGAGACGCTATTCCAGACTATGAGGTAGTTCATCTTCCGGTAGAAGAATTAGTGAAAGATGATTTGAAAGAAGAAAATGACGACGAAGGCATAGAATATTCATTTTCCGCTTTCCAAAGGTAAATTAATGTTTTTTTTAATACCTCTAATAAACAAGACAATATGTTCAATGTAAATAAAACCAAACTGAATTGAGTTATTTAACTGTATATTTTAATATTTATTTGCCTAATATTTTAGCGTGTTTTCGTAAATTATTAGCGTGATTTTTTTTATAGTCGGCATTTTTATATATTTGCGATATACAATATGAAAAATATTGTCCGTTAATGTTTTGTTTGATGTGTATACAAGGTGTTAATTAATATTACGTAGAATTTTAAACCTACACTTAGATACTCGCAACACGACCGGTAATATTATAAAATGTGCTTTATATAAAGTTTTTAACAACTAAAATTTTTTTTTAAAAGTATGTATATTTACTAGTGGAAAATATTTTATTACTTCATGAAACGAGTATTCAATCTTGTATTATTGGGCGAGGGCTTTTGTTTTTTAAAAAATGAATAATATTAATATTAAAAAATAAAAAATCGGTAAAAAAACTTTAAGTTAAACGGTTTTATCTTATGTGCACTGAAAACTAGGAAATAATAATAACAATTAGGTATTTTGAACTTCTAGTTCAGAAATATTTTAGTACTAGGCAGAATAGCTTTTAGGCATATTAGACTAAAATAAAAACGTGGGGCCCCTCTGAAATCCTACCTATGGCAAAGCATAACTTTATACTTTGGTAGATCATGAGCTCGGCGTTCGCTGGTGAAGCCGCCACGGCTGGTTATTGATTGTCAAAATCTCCAGTTACGATTATAGTAAGTCGATGCAATCCACCTTAGTATAGAAGAAAGTATTACAGCAATAGTTAATGGGCCCCACGTTTTTATTTTTAGTCTAATATGCCTAAAAGCTATTCTGCCTAGTACTAAAATATTTCTGAACTAGAAGTTCAAAATACCTAATTGTTATTATTATTTTCTAGTTTTCAGTGCACATAAGATAAAACCGTTTAACTTAAAAGTTTTTTTACCGATTTTTTATTTTCTAGTTTTAAGTATTTAACGGAAATGCCTACCGCATATTCCTCATTCTATTTAATTCATTTAGTGCATCATTATTACATGGTTTCTACCTGATAATTTATTACAATCTAATTCCTCAATACATAGTCCTTCCAGAGACTTGACTCGACTTAGAGCCACGTATGCTTGCCCTTCCTCAAACAATTTTGATGCTAGCCTGGACTCATGACGCTCAGGTGTTTCTGCCGCTAACAACTCTCTCTGTCTGTCACGTTGTGATGCTAGCCTGGACTCATGACGCTCAGGTGTTTCTGACTCTACCAGCTGCCTTTGTCTCTCATGTTGTGCTATTAACCTGGCATCATGTTGCTCAGGTGTTTCTGTTGCTAACCGTTCTCTTCGTTTCTGTAGTCGACTATAGGTTTCATTTTCACTTTCTTTTGCACGTTTCGTTCTATACTTTTCTTTCGCCTTTTCGAGCCTTCTTTTTCATTGTGTGCCAAATTTCAGATCAATCTGACAACAGGAAGGTACTTAAATTTAAAAAAAAAACATCTATTATACTTTTCTTTCGCCTTTTCGAGCCTTCTTTTTCGTTTTTATTTTTGTTTGTTTTTTTTATTTATTGTTTCCATGTTGTTCCCACGAGTAATGGACATTTTAACGGTCGACCCCCCCAGAGGTCCAGTAGAGGGGCAAGGCTATAATATACAACAAGAGGCGCCCAATCTTGAGGGGAAAACGCTTGCGACATTACATTTTTAGCCACCCTAACGCCCTACAGTCCTCAGCACGTTTTAACCTATTACCTTAACTTGGGTGGTAAAGCTACCGCTAACTACGTAGGTACATCTAATCACCTACTTTTTTTTATCTGTCCTTCTAACGTCACACAATCTTGGACACAATTGTTCTGGACACGACTACTCATGCCCTCACCTAATACGCCATTTTGTAACGACGTCCATCTTGGATTTTAAATTTTGTCATAATCACAGTATTCTACTAGTGTAGCCCTTTCATTTGATACCCATATTGAGGGGGTTGTGGAAAAATATGAAATCCGCCATTTTGTACCGGCGGCCATCTTAGATTTACAATGTTATTGATATTACTATACTGTATTGTCATCGGAACTAAAGGTGTGTACCAAATTTCAGATCAATCTGACAACAGGAAGGTACTTAAAGTTCAATTTCTAATTTTGACCCAAATAAACAAACAAATAAATAAATACCGTACGGGTCGAGCTAAATAAACACATTTTTTGTAATAAAACATTTTGATGAATGTATCAATCAATTTGATCACTTGGATTATCAACCTCGTGTTCCTGTAGATTACTTTAATACCTACAAAGTTTGTAAAAAAAATAAAAACTAACCACATTTTTTGAACAAAACAAAACAAAATAATATTAACTAAACAAAACCTGAAAAAGTAATTTTTACTACATCACAAGCAAATAAAAATTAATATTTAGTCAAGAGTCATATTTCAGTCAAAATTTCTCTGGGGGATGCCCAACAGCACTTGGGGAGGCCCCGGTATCCCCGTTCCCCCCTTCAATTACGCCAATGGCTTAGTATATGGTCCCCCTGTATATTTCTCGAAAAATTAGTTTGCATTTTTACATGGTTCCTCAAAAAAAAAACAAGAATATACAGGGTGTTTCAAAAAATATGTGCTATCTCTCGTGGGGAGATTCCTCGCGTAAAAATAAGATTTATTTTTTGTACCCAACATAGGTCCGATTTTACTTTGTTTCGCAGCTACAAGGTCTTCATTTTTTTTCAATTTATTATAATTTTTTTTGAAATGCTTTTAGCGATTCTAATGTAATTTAAATGGTAAAAAATACTATAAGTGCCACATATTTTAATGCTAAACAAGAATTGATATATTCACAGGGACGTGCATATGGGTAGAATATATTTTTAATAAAAACATGTGCGCCACTGACTTTTTTTCCCTTGTTAGCAAAATTGTGTAGACCGTTTAATGTCGATTAAAAGTTGTCTCTTGATATTTTGTCTTCTTGACGAGATAAACGCAATTTTATTATTTTGCCTTTATCCCAAATCTAGCAAATTTTAAAAATGTTTAATGCCATTAACTGGTCACAGTGTTAAACAATTGCTCACTGATTGATTCCTCATCAAAATATATGAAAAAAAGTTTCTATAAATTAATTTTAAGGTTTAAAATAAGGATGTTAAAACTTTTAAATTTATTAATTTAATTTTTATTTTAATTTGATTAATTGTGATTAATAAAATTAAAATAAAAATTAAATTAATAAATTATTTACGTAATTGTAATAAAAAAAATATTCCAGTTATAATAAATTTAAAAAATAGACTTAAACTCCCTGTAGCTACGAAACAAAGCAAAATCGGACGATATATTTTATGTTAAGTCTATGGACGATGTATATATCGTTGATATAAAAAATAAATCTTATTTTTCGTGAGGAATCTGCGCACGACAGATGGCACATGTTTTTTCAAACACCCTGTATATCTCGTATTATGTATACCCAAATTTCAGGCCGATTAATTTAAACTGAAAAAGAATACCAACATATTAGGAACGACATTTAAAACATACATCCATGAAGATGATAATGTTCAATACTTGAATCAAACACCATTAAACTGTCATTATTTACACGAAGATGAAGAATTTGTTGCCGCACTTAGCATGTGTACCCCTAAAGCTGTGGTAAGGCATTTTCAACATTTAACATGATATTTTTAGTTTTATATTAAAATAAATATAACTTTTTTTCAACTAATTACTAAAGAATTACTATATTAATTTTTAAATCTGTTTTGTAATCTTTCCGTGAATCTTTATTATGATTATTTATTTAACTTCTATTGCCTGTATTTTCCTAAATGGAAAAACAAGACTCCATCATAATTTATGTATACAAGGTTGTTCACCACATACGACGCGGAGTATTGTAGCTAAACGATGAGATTTTTACAAATTGTAAGTTTGGGGTTCGTTGAAGGACTATTAGAGCTACAATTTAAAAATATTTTTACAAGATACAGAGTCTCCCAAATAAATAAAAAATATCAAAGTTGTATTTTTTAAATGGAACACCCTGTATATTATTACATTTTTAGTTTCTACGATTAAAATAAAGGTAAATTTGATTAAGGTTTATTATACTTAAACCTTACCGTTTTTGAAATATTTTCAATTTCGTGAAATTGCAGTAAAAATTTTAAAGCTTCATTTCTCCAAGGGTATCAATGTTTTTAATACTAAATATTTAATGAAGTTTATTTATTGATCAGTTATTGTGTTGCAATAATAAAAATAATACTACCTTATACAGAGTGTCTAAAAATCTATTTTAAATAATTATTAGCTTCAAACGGCAATAACTTCTTTAATTTAAATGGAATGCCCTGTATATTTTAGGAGAATCAGATGCACAATTAAATTGTCTATCAAATTGTATTATACCATTTTTTACCTATCCCTTCAAGTTTTCGTAGAAAATGCATTTTCTTATAATTTAGACCTCATTTATCAATATATCCATGGAATACTGACATTTTAGATTGTTTTTAAAGCAACAAATGTACAAAATGTACAGACTAGTAATATTATCGTTTTTAGCAAAACGATAATATTACTAGCCCATTTGTATGCCAAAAGAAAACTATTTAAATCTTTATAAAAGAGTATACCATTAATTAAATATAACACCATTATTTCCGCCCATATACTAATTAATGACATACTTAATTGTGTTTGTTAATAAATTATTATAAATAAATGTGGATTTTTGAGTCAGAAATCAATATAATAATAAGTTATCAAATTAAAGTCTTTGTTGTTATACATAAGCATTTATTAAAAAATGAAATATCATATTTAAGGTGTTACTTTTTATCACACTGTCTAATGCCCATACAAAATTCAGTTTTTTAGTATTTGGAGCAATTATTATTAATCATCGCAAACAGTCAGTTAATGTAGTTTGAATACTGGAATCATATTAATTGGTCCTCTTTAACAAATATTTAAACAGTTTTTTATTTTTAATGAAATAAACGAATTATATCGACAATATTAGTATCTGTACTCTTTAAAAATTTGGTACATCTTTAAAATAATCTAAAATGTCAATAGTCCATGGGTATATTGATAAATAAGTTCTAAATTACAAGAAAATGCATTTTCTACGGAAACTTAAAGAGATAGGTAAAAAATGGTATAATATAATTTGATAGACAATTAAATTGTGCATCTGATTCTCGTAAAATATACAGGGTGTTCCATTTAAATTAAACAAGTTATTGCCGTTTGAAGCTAATAATTATTTAAAATAAATTTTTAGACACTCTGTAGTATTATTTTTATTATTGCAACACAATAACTGATCAGTAAATAAACTTCAGTAAATATTTAGTATTAAAAACTTTGATACCGTTGGAGAAATGAAGCCTTAAAATTTTTACTGCAATTTAATAAAATTGAAAATATTTCAAAAACGGTAAGGTTTAAGTGTGATAAACCTTAATCAAATTTACCTTTATTTCAATCGTAGAATCCAAAAATAGAATAATATACAGGGTGTTCCATTTAAAAAAATACAACTATAATATTTTTTACTTATTTGGGACACTCTGTATCTTGTAAAAATAATTTTAAATTGTAGCTCTAACAGTCCTTCAACCAACCCAAAACTTGAAATTTGTAAAAATCTAATCGTTTAGCTACAATACTCCGTGTCGTATGTGGTAAACAACCCTGTACAAGACCACAAATATTAAAATAATATTGATTATTAAAACACACTTCCGTGTATTAACAGTATTTTTATGTATTGGCAACATCAATAGTAAATAATGTAATGTAATAAACCGCTTAAATTCTGCCAAAATCTTAGGGTACGCCTACCTTGCCTACCCTGACGAGCCGCCACTGAATTTCTTTAACAGTTAACTAAATATTTTTTGATTCTGTCTGTTATAATTCTACGTATGAATTTTACCTACATAGTAACATAATATCATTCTTCTAGGTTGATCTAATTAGAAATGTTAATTGTATTTTAGCAAGGTTTAATTTTTTTGGACAACTCTACCTTCGAAATACATCCGTTAACTCCGAAACTTCAAAGATTGGTAAAGAGGGATATTAGTGATGAAGAACCTTCTAGTCAGAGAAGAGTACCTCATATTATTAAGAGAGCAAGATTCGCGAAAGATTTCTTGTTTGATGATTTATTTCCTACAGCAGGTAAGAAACGTAAAAAAATTGTCACTTAAGTATGGTAAGTGATATTACACCAAGACTTTTATTATACAGTGAAAGTATAAGTACACTCTGTATAAGATTTTTTTTATTGCAACACAAAATTTAATAAATAGAAAACTTCAGTACGATATTTTGTTTTAAAAACTTAAATACACGCCAAGAGAAATAAAGCATTAAAATTGTTACTGCATTTTCAAAAAATCGTAAATATTTCCAAAACGCTAAGAATAAAGTGCGGTAAACCTTAATCATATTTACCTTTATTTTAATCATAGAAACTAAAAATGTAATAATATACAGTGTGTTCCATTTAAAAAAAATACAACTTTGATATTTTTTATTTATTTGGGACACTCCTTACCTTTTGAAAATAATTCGTGTGGCTACAATACTCCGTGTCGAATGAGGTGAATAACCCTGTATATAGAAACCATATTTGATTGTTATTTTAGGTAACCTCTTGGACAGAAATGAAGAGTTAAATGACAACATAGGCGATATTTTCGAGGACGAAATTTTCCAGAATACCCTTAATAATAACCTTTACCGTAGAACTCCGCCAATGACTGTAGAACTAGCGTTGTTTTTTGATGAAGCAGCATATAAAATATTTGGTCCTTATTTTGGTTACGATGACAGAAAATTACAGAATATGCTACTAGCCTACATAAACGGCGTAAGTAAAAATTTCGTACTCTACTTGCATACCTATACATACATATGTACAAATATTTTTACCTTAAACCTCTCCTTACATATCGATGAGTAGGCTAAAGACAGAACAAGGCTTCATTCAGAACCTCGCAATTAATGGTTTCAAGATCATAATATACCGGGTGTTTCTCAAGAGTGGTTCGCCTCTATAACTTTTTTATTTTTTCTGATAAAAAAAACGAGATTTGGTATGTAAGCATATGACATAAATTAGGGCTCATTGACGTATTCAATTTGTTTCGATCACCTGCTTCACTAAAATGACCACAACTTTTGATTTTTAAATGGCACCCTCGGTATTTTTTTACTTTATTCGATAGAAAATGACACTCTGAATAGAATGCCTAGTACAAAATATTAAAATCGCAATCGCAGATTACGGTCGCAGCGATTTAAAAATCGCAACCCCTGTTTCAATTGCGATTGGAGAATCACAGTTTTGCTCATCTCTTCTACTATTTCCTAGTGATGGGCAAAACTGTTATTTTTAGATAACAGTTGAAACTGTTATAGTTATTTATAAAAAACAGCTTAAAATAACAGCTTAAAAATAACAGGTTTCTTTATTTTACTGCTAAATATCTGAAAGTATGAGGCGGTCACCGCCAGGCGTATTAACGCAGTTGCAAGTTGCAACAATGACGTGCTCGGTGGTAATATTTCCAGGGTGTCAAAACATTTCTAAATATCGATTGTTACCTAAAATACCTCTCTAAAACGGTGGTTGTTTACAAATAAGGGCTGTTACAAATTGCGATATAAAAAAAAGCCAAAATTCCGCCACCCGTCTATACCTATACATTCCGATCTACCTACGCCCTGCCCCTCGATCCGCGTAGATCCTGAAGTGCATCTTACTCGACGGGCGAGAAGCTCGTTATGATTTTACCATTTGCGGTAAAAAAATAACAATATAAGAAAATGTGTAGTATATTCTTCATAAGTAAACCAACTACACACTAGAGTTTGTGTACCCGCGACTTCGTTCGTGTCGAATTAATAATTTTTAATGGTGATGATAAAGCAAAACAAGAATTTCCATTAACATACAGACTGGATAAAATTTTCTCACATGTGCCAAAAATAAGCTTTAAACGTCGAGCAGTTTAAACAGAATCGTGGTTAATCAATTACTCAGCTTTTTGGAACACCCTGTATGATTTTTGAAAAAATGTCAACATATGTAAAAAAACAAAATAAATTATGCGTGTCCAGGCGTTTTCCCGAAAGACTAACCGTTTTTTAAATAACAAATATTGTAATATTTGAGGGGCGTTTTCACCCTGTTGGAATTTGAGATTCGAGAAACCCCTCCTTATCGAACCTCAACCCCACAGTCAATCCGTTTGCCAAAAATCAGCTTTAATTTAAACGTCAAGCAGTTTAAGCAGAATAGTGATTACTCAATGGTCATATTTTATGAAACACCCTGTATATATTTTTTAAAAATCTGAATATATGTAAAACAACATAATAAAATATATGTGTTTTAAGAGTTTTTCCGAAAAACTCACCGGTTTTTAAATAAAAAATATTCTAATATTTGAGGGTAGTTTCACCCCCTTAGAATTCGAGTTTCGAAAAATCCCTTCTTATCGAACCTCTACACCCTAAAGTCAATCCGTTTTCAAAAATCAGCTTTTTTACGTCAAGGGCTTTAAGCAGGATCGTGATTAATCAATGACCAGATTTTTCAAAACACCCTGTATACATTTTTAAAAATCTTAAAATATTATTCTGAAAATTTTTCAGAATAAATAAATACCTAAATATTGAAACTTAATAAGTAAGTACTGAAACATACAGCGCCATAATATCTCGACCTCCGCCCGTTATGCTCGTAACAGGTTGAAAAACAATGTACTATCTAAAATAACTGATGCGTTATTCTCCAAACTGTTTCGAACCTCCATCGACAATCGACCGATGCAGCAGCGTTCCTTTCCCACTCCGATTATCTCGACCACCGCCCTGTTATGCTCATAACAGGTTGAAAAACAACGTATCTAAAATGACTGCTTCTCCAACCCGTTGCGAGCCTCCATCGACAATCGACCAATGCAGCAGCTTTCCTTTCCACTCCTGTTATCTCGACCGCCAGGCGTTATGCCCGCAACTGTTTCAAAAACCTGCTTCTTATTTTTAAGAGGTATCGACCGAAGCTACGTTCGCCGAAGCGCATTCCCCACTCCGTTGTCTCGCCGCCTGTATCGATGGTTGACGAAATAACATGTTTTCCATCCATACTAGTTGTTTTTGGAATTGCTTCGAGCAGCATAGAATTTCGTGACGGTGCAGAGCGCCGACTTCGTTTTTCGTTTTACGAGCGGCCGATCTCTACCTGTCGTTATTTTATATCTGTTATTTTTTAGAAGTAGTAACGGTTGCGTTATGTTATTTATAAATAATTGTTATAAAATAACAGATAGTTAAATAACAACCCATCACTACTATTTCCAGTGTTTTACCACAGTTTAAAGAATACATACCAGTTGGCCCACTCTAAGGAATTCTATTGTTATTTTGACTTCAAAGGCGGCCCGTGACCCTTCGAGGTGACAAAAAATTATTTGTTTACCGGGTGCAGCGGAAGTGCTATTTTATCAGTCAGAACGCTGGCCGTATACGAGGGATCATCTAAAAATACTAAGGAATTTTAATATAGCAAGTAGAAAAATAAAAATACAGTACTAGTTTTATCGATTAACAGTTTTAGGCGTCTTTAATAATGGATCAATATTTATTTACTTTCTTCTTATTATTATTTAATAACATATCTCATTGTTTACAAATATAAATACGATATGAATTGAAATGTGAAATAAAAAACGGATTTTAGTTAAGTACATTATCTTATAATACTAATTTATTCATGTTAATTTTACAACAAAATAATTTTCATATATTATTCTATCCTAATTCTTTGGAATATGGAATTAATAGGGTAATTATTATTAATAATTAATATGCAAACCCCATATGAAAAATTATACTAAATAAATATAATAAGTTAATTTTTTTAATATATATAATAATAATTTGCATATTTCTTAAATTATAGCATGTTTTGCTTTATAGCTGTTTGCATTTTACTTTAATTACCTATCCGGAAAACCCAAATTTTATCGTAAGATAATAAAAGTACCTTTGCATACAACTTGTGTTGCCATTGTCAATTTTTTGGATTTTTTTCTCAATTTTATGATCATCATGAACAGTAATTATGACTGTTAGGAGTTAATTGTGTAATAAATTTTACTGTTCGATAAAATTTAGTAAAAAACTGAAAAAAAATTGACAATGGCAAGACAAGTTGCATCCAAGTACTTTTTATTACCTTTTGAAAAAAGGTAGATAATTCAAGTTAAATGCAAACAGCTAAAAAGCAAAACATGCCATAACTTAAGAAATATGCAAATATAATTTATTACAGTAATTACTACTAACTGAAGAGCACACTGGAAAAATAATGAAAGTACCAAAAAGGGGGGGGGCTACACCTTTTGGTACCTAAATAAACGGGAATATCGATAACGGCCACATAGAAAGAGGCATTTAAAAATGGGAAAAACGATATAAACTCGAATATAAAAGTACATGCGTAATTTGAATTAAAAAAAAACGGTTTCCTGAACATTTATCATTTCTGGATACTCATCGTTTTTCCCATGTGCTCGTCAATTTTTATATTTACTGTTACATAAAATTTAGTAAAAACTCTAAAAAACTTGTCAATAACAGAACAAGTTGTATGCACGTATTTTTATTACCTGACGATAAAATTTGGACTTTCCAGGTAGGTATTTAAAGTTAAATACAAACATCTAAAAAGTAAAACATGCTATTTAAAAAAATGCAAATATCTTAAAAAATAATTTAATATGCACTTTGCCAAACCGGTAAATACTGCAAAATGCAAAACATAATAGTAAAGTATCTACTACTACTCTAAAATATCTACTAAAATAATAAACTAATTGTTAAAAATAAATATTTTGTGCATATTTCGAGTAAAATCTTTTCTTAATTTATATGTATATTTTTAAAACAATTTATTCATAGTTAGGTTTCCATAATTATAATATACTTAATATGTCTAATACTTTAATTATTATATACTTAATATCCTATACTATATAAACTCATACCTTCCTTCATCTTTTGGGCACCTAAAGAACGATACTGCACAAATATTTCTAGTAGACATTTTATTCACAATTCGAACAAAACAACTAAAACACTATTTTTGGTTCACCCTATGCGTCGGACCGAAAACAAAACTAAAATAAACTTGGAACGCTGTGTACACGTCGACCAACGGATGTAGACTGACCCAAATCTACAAGACAGACGGGGAGCTGCGGGAGGAATTTTGAAACGGGCGAAGAGTGGGTCTGATACTTTTACTGATATATTTATATTCTTTAAACTGTGGTTTTACTATTATTACACAATATATTAGGATTCGATTCTCATTTTATAATTAGAACCTTTGTTTTTCCTTAAGAATGCAAATACGTTATTTTGACTGCAAATCCTATAGCTAGATTCTATAATTCTCTGTCCACTCTTGGAAGATAATGAATAATAACTTAATGTTACTTTTGATTTTGAGTTTTGATATTTAATTAGGTTCAAGCTCTGTACCATCACCCGAGTTTGGGAAATAGTTTGGAGCTAGTACTAGTCAGATTAGACATTATGAAAACCCAACCCAGACAGATGCCACATTATAATGGAGAAAGATCACAGTTGTTAGATAGTTTCTGCGAATACCAGGCCAGTATTAACCCTAAAGACGACTCTAATCCTGATCACTGGGATATGGGACTTTACGTTTCGGGGTAAGGATAGTTTAACTATTTAATTTAATATCTAACTAACTATTTTTTTGCTATTATTATCCTATAAGAGTATTGTAAAAAAAGATCATAAGTTGACTGTTATTAAATCAGTTATTCTGATACAGATCATACCAAATAAGTCACTTTTAGTCACGTGATTAAGCTTGACCGGCACAGCCACTTTTACATATTTTCTTTTAATCAAAATATTTTAAAAGATAAAAATTAATTAATTATAAATATATAAACAGTTATTATTTACATCAAAAAAACTCACCACCTTAACAGCATTTAAGCGACATAAAGGGCCATTACTACAGCTTTCCCGTTCAAAATATTCTAATATAAGGTTGCGATGAGAGTTTTTTGCAACGACTATTAAGCTATTTTGTACACTTCGCACTAAAAGAGCAATGTTCGACTGCAAGGTCTGCTAGTAAAAATGTTTAAGCTTAAAATATCACAACACAATTCATTTAAACCAAAAACTCGTAATACAAAACTAAAGTGTCAAAACGAATGACAATGTCAGAAAATAAATAAATAAATGTGGCAACTTCACATTCTTTACAGCGGGCTACCAACTGAATCCCCAGCCGGAAATTTAAATTCTAGATAGTCAGCCGGGCGCCAAATATGTCTACGGTTGGCAACAATGCATTTAAAAATCGCGCCTCGATTACGTAACTAAAAGTTTAATTGACATCGCTTATAGTAAAGAGTATTGTAATAAGGACTAATTAACTAATTATAATTTTGTTATTTTTATCCTCTATAATACCCCATAAGGATACTCAACTCAAAAACTTTATCTTTTTAGATTGGACTTTTTTGCTTACGAAAATGGAAAGAAAAGCGGAGTCACGATGGGATTGGCTACAGTGGGCGGTGTATGTTTGGACAAATATGCTTGTATTATAGCTGAATTTGGAACTACAAATGTATTTGGGAAGCCGTATCCTAGTGCCGGATTTACTAGTGTTTATATCTTAGCGCATGAAATAGGACACAAGTAAGCATATTTTTAATATAAATATCATTTGCCTATTCAGCCATCTATAATTATTGTAAGATTATTATTTTAGACCTACATTTATTTGTATAGTCTATAAAATAAATAACTTTGAATTTTGACCGTTATTTTTTACCAACATGGCAAATATAAAATCCCTCTATCAAAAGAGTTACTGATATTCTTTAAATTGTGTGCCTGAACGAATCAGATAGGTAACTCTTTCTACGTTCGTGAAATAGAAACGGAAAATATTAAAACAAGTGACAGTTGCAAAAATCAACACGAAATTGCAAAAATCCAAGGGCAAAAATCAACACGAAATGACATAATTGTCAAAAGTAAAATGTCATCAGCTATTGACATTTCTAAATATCAGACCTATGCCGTCTCTAATAGAACAGCTTCGAGCGAGATTTATAACGTCACGCTAATTAGATCCTATGGATTAATAAATATGTTGTAGAATACATGGAAAACATAATTATTCCTCGTATTTTTGGTTTGTATTTTAAAAATTTTATAGTTTACATGAAATATACATAATATACAGTTAATAAATACAATATATATACCTATTTATGGTAATAAGTACTTTGGCAAATAAACTATGAACCATACAAATGCAGCAAATGTTTTACGATATACAAATAATGAATAGGTACATAAGATAATGGGTAAAATGAAAAATATATTTTAAATTTGGGGGTTTGAAAATCGATCTAATTTATGTAACAAAAACTATTCAATATCTATTAATAGTGATGTATTATTATTTACATTCACAAAATTTATATGCATATTTTACAAGTATCAATGTTCGAAAATTATATATTTGCAAATAATAAAATATCATAGAAAAAACGGCGTCAGTGATGACTTTGAAATTAAGGTCGCCGTCATTTTATATGTAAAATTATTCTAAAATTTTTGATTTTCTTGGGATTTAGGTTCGGGAAAAAGGCTGATTAAGTTTTTATTTGGTTTTTCATTTTTTTTTGTTTAAAAAAAACGTTTCGGCTAACATTATAGCCTTCATCAGTGTTGTGTCAAAAAATAGTGTCGAATATAATCCAAAAAATTACATATAAAATATTCTAAATATATATGTTACTGTAAATGACCGAAATACGGTAAAACCTAGGACTTACCAAAAGCAAGTGGTAGTAAAAACCAACTAACCCCCAAAATAACCAGGCTAACCAATGCATTAACACCCTCCAAATAACCAGGCTAACCTAATTAGTTAATGCTGTTGGTAATTCCTAGGTTTAACGCGCTTATTCTAGGTTTTACCCCATTTCGGACATTTACAGTAACATATATATTTATTTATTAATACATATTTATTAATCCGTACTATCTAACTAGCGTGACGTCATAAATCTCGCTCCGAGGCTGTTCTATTAGAGACGGCATTGCGTCAGCATGGCCGCAAGTTGCTAACCTAATAAAATTAACACTAGTAAAGCCCGCGGGAACTGTCAAATTCAAAGTTATTCGTTTCACAGACTATAACATTTTGAACATAATACAGGGTGTTTCAAAAAACATGTGTCATTTCTCGTGAGGAGATTCCTCTCGTAAAAATAAGATTTATTTTTCATATTAACATAGGTCGGATCACAGACTAACGTAAACTACAGGGGTAGCTACAGGGGGTAAAATTCTTCATCTTTCGATTTATAACGAAGCAGAATCATGTTGCAGGACCCATGTTGATATCTAAAATATTTTTTTGCGTGAGGAATTTCCCCTCGAGAGCCGGTAGGTATTTAAAGTTAAATACAAACATCTAAAAAGTAAAACATGCTATTTAAAAAATGCAAATATCTTAAAAAATAATTTAATATGCACTTTGCAAACCGGTAAATACTGCAAAATCCAAAACATAATAGTAAAGTATCGACTACTACTCTAAAATATCTACTAAAATAATAAACTAATTGTTAAAAATAAATATTTTGTGCATATTTCGAGTAAAATCTTTTCTTAATTTATATGTATATTTTTAAAACAATTTATTCATAGTTAGCTTTCCATAATTATAATGTACTTAATATGTCTAATACTTTAATTATTATATACTTAATATCCTATACTATATAAACTCATACCTTCCTTGATCTTTTGAGCACCTAAAGAACGATACTGCACAAATATTTCTAGTAGACATTTTATTCACAATTCGAACAAAACAACTAAAGCACTATTTTTGGTTCACCCTATGCGTCGGACCGAAAACAAAACTAAAATAAACTTGGAACGCTGTGTACACGTCGAGCAACGGATGTAGACTGACCCAAGTCTACAAGACAGACGGGGAGCGGCGGGAGGAATTTTGATACGGGCGAAGAGTGGGTCAACTGATATATTTATATTCTTTAAACTGTGGTTTTACTATTATGAATTTCCCCTCGAGAGCCGGCACAAGAAACAACCTGTAGAAAAAAAGTTGGATAGTAATATTGTTTCCCTCTTTTTCAACTGAAATGAACTAATGAAGAATTTATTGAACTATATAAAAACATGGCCTTTTTATTATTTTATAATTATTAAAATGTCAAAGCTCTTGAAATGAAAAATGAGTTTTCATGAATGGCAAATTTTGATCTTATAAAAAAAATCTTTTAGTTTAGGTATGCACCATGACAATAGTGGAAATAGATGTCCTAAGGATGGCTATATAATGTCTCCCTCCAGAGGAACTAACGGAGAAACTCAATGGTCCACCTGTAGTGCTGAAGTTATGTCAAAATTGGGGTAAATATGTTTTATTTTATTTTTATAATAATTTTACAATATGTGTGATTTATAATAAAAGAAAATCTCTCTATCGATCAGTATTAATATAAGTATTCATCAATGGTTCATCTCTGAAAGATATATTCATGTGACAGTTTTATAACTGAAATACCTAATAAAATAATAAAAACAAAAACATCATTTTAACTTCAGCTTTGCTATGTTTTTCACTTAAGTTCTTGACAACGACATTGAGTTATTTAAAATCAATGGCATTGTTTTTAAATCAAAGTGTAAACACAATCCGGAGACATACTGTATGTTATATTAGAAGAGATACCAGCCATCTTGATTGACATGTTATTGAAAAATCGCTTTTTATTCAAAATCTGAGCTAGCTAGATATAGGATACAATATAGTTTGAAAGAGCATTTGAATCTGCTCCGATTTATTTTAAAAAATACAGGGTGTTGCATCTGAAATAACGAAGTTATATAAAATAAATCCTTAAAATAGATCAGCAATTTTTGGAACCCCTGCATAAATTTAAGGAAGCAATCGCATTTTTCAGTAAAGTTTATCTCTCCTTTAAACTCAGCACAAGAATTAATTCTGAAAAGTAATGTGTTCTACAGGGTGTTAATAATCTATTCTATTGTAGCATGCATATTAAATATATTTAAATATTTCAAAAATCAAAGATTTTAAACATATTTAACCCTTATATTAAATGCCTTTTTTTGGGCCCAAGAATCCAAAAATGAAATAAAATACCGGGTGTTCCATAAGAAAAAATATAACTTTGGTATGGATCTTAGTTCTGAAACACCCTGTATATTTCAAAATAATTGTAAATTTTGCACATTGCCACTCCACATATATCCATAAAATATTTTGTTTCTACATCTTTACGTTTTTGTATAATCAACCGAGGCTTTCTGATATTTAATACGTTGTTTAATTTTAATATATTCTTAAATACCTACTCCATATCTATCCTAGTTGGGCAAAATGTCTGAAAGACTCCAGTAAACCAGTGAGGTCGAGAGACCATTCCCGATTTTTGGATGTTCCCGGCAGGATTTACACGGCAAAAAAACAATGCGAGGTTCTTCTAAGGGATAAGGACGCAGTGATAGCTCCAAGTCAACAATTGTCTGAAATTTGCTACAACTTGCAATGTAAAACGCCTCACAGAAGCGGATTTTATTTTGCAGGGCCTGCTTTAGATGGTACGCCCTGTGGATCTGGAAAGGTATTTCATACAATGTTGTTTTAAAATAGTTCAAGTACGGCATTTAGAGAGCGTTTGTAATAACATATAATATGTTATTACAGACTATATACCTATATACCGATCTGCTCATTGAAACTGCGTGGTCTGGATTTTAACGTGTAAGACAGTGATGTCGACAGCTTAATGGAGAATCAAATGTATTAAAAAGAGATAAAAGTTGGGTTGATACATTTCTTCTATGCGGTATTGCCGGATTTTGCATCAAAATTTCAAACCGCACAAGTAGGCATTTATGAAAAATGTTGCATCTAGGACTGGAACTTTATTTTTCACAATTAGTTACTCATTTTACTACAGCTGTAATAGATTATACTCAGCTTAGATATATTATCTTCATTTCAGTAGTATACATGAACATTTTTAAAAAAGTTTATTTTTTTACACACATTTTCCTACAAACGTAAAAACCGGCAACACTGTATGCCGCTTTTTATTTTGTCCCTCTGCCTGTCAACCGGTTATTTATATTTATCTCTGTCGCATGCACTAAAATAGAGACCACGCAGTTTCGATGACCAGATCGGTATAATATTTCTAACAGAACGTCAACGGTTTATATTAAAGCTGACCTCAAAGCTCCATATTGATCACTTCGCGAAGTATAACAAAAAGTGTGGACACGAACTAAAATTAAAATAGTTTTAATTGGCTGGTCCCATGATGAATGTTAAAAATTAAAAATCATTAATGAAATCACTTATTGCAGTACTGTTACGGTGGACACTGCAGTTCAAGGCAACTACCTAAACCGGTGCAGGTGACTCCGGGTGGGTGGAGTTCTTGGATGAAGAGTTCTTGTTCCTCTGGATGTTTAAGTAACGCGAAAGGTATCCAAATGAGCACTAGGGAATGCAATAATCCACCGCCAAAGAACACTGATCAAGGCTGCGAGGGAACCAATAGACAGTTCAATTTTTGCAAAGACGATAAGGTAAAACAATTTAAAATATTTTCTTTTATGTGTATACAGGGTGAGTTTCCTACGATGTTCTCTATGGGTATCTCGGAAACTACTGGAGATAGAGAGTCGGTTAAATGGAGAAAGAATTGCAGTTTTGTGGGGTCATAAATACGCGACTTTCAGATTTTTGAAAAAGTTTATGGCTTACTAGAAATTTTCGAAAAAAACAAATTTCGGCTATTTTAAAAATTGTCCCTAATTCCATTATAATCTACTTTAGACAAAAAGTTTTCAGATAAAAGTTGTAGATAATCATATCCCTAATGAGCTTGTGTTCTCCGATTTTTTCTAAAACTTGTCATTTTTGACATATGACACAATCATATGTTTTTTAAATCGAAACCATAGTTGGCCATGACTTCATAAAAAGCGCCATTTTTTAAGCTTTTTAGCGATATAAGCTATAATATGTCTTCTTCGAAAAATTACTGAGTTATAGCCGTGATACAAAGAATACAAGGTATGATATTGCGCAGGTTGGTCACTACGTTACAGGTGACAAACGGCACCATTGGTCGGTAAGCTCCGCTCGCCAATTTCAAATTGTCAAACAGATGACACAATAAACGTGAAAATAATTTTTCAAATGTCAAACTCGATAATTTGACATAACTTTTGGGGTTATGTCCTAATTCTTCCCTATTTTAGGTCTTTTTTTTATTAGTGGCAATTGAATAATATGGATATTTTTTTGTATGGCGTATGACGTCACAGGTGGTATGCGCAAACTTAACGAAATTGGAGCCGCTATCGATCATACGTTGTTTTCTTTGTACCATGAGTTATAGCCAATTTTTATAATTTTTAAACAATTTCACTTAGTTAGCAATGGAAACAAGTTTAATAGTCTTTGCTCTCAGAAATGTGAAGCTGTCACATCCAAACTTTGTAAATTAAAATAAACAAAAATTGTAAATATGAATTTTTCAAATGAAGAAAAGCGTGTAGGATTATCTGTTCAACTTTTCTTGGCCATACATTTTCGAGGATACGTTGACCGGTGAATGTTTTTAGAGAAAGATTTTCAAAACATGTTAGAAAAGTTAAATTTAGTTTAGCCAATTCTTTCTTGACTAATTTCACTTAGATTACATGGTATTCTTATTCTGTTATGATTTATAACTTATAAAAAGTCAGAATATATTATTAAACGGTTCTTTACAATTTACATTACATAAACTAAAGCTTAAAAAAATAATATCACTACATACGCTTTAAGTTATTTTAGAAAATGTTCAAAAATCCGCCATTGCTTTGAGTTGCATCTTTTTAAAACTAAATTACTACCGATTCTCACAGAAGGACCGGTCGACTTGATTAAATTTCTCTCGTGTCGCCACTTTAGTGCCTGTCTTAATTCATAATTTTTTTTGTAAACCTTATTGTTAACCATACCGCATTAAAAAATCTAAAATGGATGGATCAGGTGATCGAGGAGGCCCATGCAATTGGTCCACCTCTTCCTATGCCTGAGGTCGCATAATTATGATATAAATAATGTTTAAAATTTCTTTTATTATGGGGGGGGGGCATAATGAAAGCCATGTTGGAACCACTCTATTGATGCGCGAGTATCTACACGCTTTTCTTCATTTCTTCATTTGAAAAATTCATATTTACAATTTTTGTTTATTTTAATTTGCAAAGTTTGGATGTGACAGCTTCACATTTCTGAGAGCAACGGCGATTGAACTTGTTTCCATGGCTAACTAAGTGAAATTGTTTAAAAATGATAAGAATTGGCTATAACTCAGTAATTTTTCGAAAAAAAAACATATTATAGCTTATATTGCTAAAAAGCTTAAAAATGGCGCTTTTTATCAAGTCATGGCCAACTATGGTTTCCATTTAAAAAAACATATGTTTGTGTCATATGTCAAAAATGACAGGCTTTAGAAGAAAACGGACACAATCTCATTAAGGATGTAATTATCTACAACTTTTATCTGAAAACTTTTTGTCTAAAGTAGATTATAATGGAATTAGGGACAATTTTTAAAATTGCCGAAATTTTTTTCGTAAATTTCTAGTAAGCCATGAACTTTTTCAAAAATCTGGAAGGCGCATATTTATGACCCAACAAAACTGCAATTCTTTTCCCATTTAACCGACTCTCTGTCTCCAGTAGTTTCCGAGATACCCATAGAGAACATCATAGGAAACTCACCCTGTATTTTGACAAAATATAAAAGTGGTAACTTGTTAAAAATATCTCTAAAATTTTCGACTTTTTTTTAAATAAAGAGTAAATTACTTTGTATAATTGAGAGTAAACGTATATATTATTTTTAGTTATGTAAAAGCAAGAAACAAACTGCAACCGAGTATGCTTCCAGAAAGTGCCAAGAGTTTTCCAGATTATTGACTGAACTGGATCCTCAAGGTGTAGGTCTGCAAGCACCCCACGAAGACGGTAAGTTTGTTTTCTTTTCAACATTTTTCATGCAAAGTTTCAGCCAGTTTCAGCCTTCAGAAATCACATGAGTGACAACGCATGGGTAACGCCATGGTAACGCTGACGCTTTATGTTCCCATATTTCTCTGTCTGACTGTTATATTTTTGTTTTACATTGCATTCGAATGTTATCTACAAATTTTCATCCTTCAGAAAACAGTTTGAAAGTGCTAATTAAAATTACGCCTTTGCGCGCTTCTCAGCGCCAAGTGTCCCGGAACTGATGGTCCGCAAATTGGGACGCAGTTTTTCAGTGACTCGCCTCAGCGACCGTATAAAAATGTTTGATTCGCCATCGAAACTATTGTTACATATCTTTAGTTCTGTATTCTGAATCTTTACTATATTCAATAATAAAAAATAAATTCAGATTACAAATCATAATTGAATAAGAATGAATACATTCAAATTTATACAAAATAAACAAAATATGTATAAACTTACCGTCTTTCAAATTTAAATTGTTTGCAATTTCACTCCAAATTCGGCTTTTCAAATATAGTTTGCATCCTTTGTGTCATACAGCACTTATAAATCTTACTGCTTCTATTAACTTTTCATCTGCCATATTTTTACCAAAAACAAAAAAACACCGGTTGCGAAAACAATTTTAACACGCGACGCGCGAAAAACCGTGTCTAAACTACCGTATGATCGAATAAAACGGCGTCCAATTGGCTTGGAAATGACCATGGTACAAAGAATACATGTATGTATACATGTATTCATTGTAGAATACATGAATGTATTCTTTGTACCATGGAAATGACGATCGATGACATTCGATTGACCCTTGGAATTTTACATATAAACACAGCGATCTTCATTTCATAGCCATAGCTGATATTTATATTTCATAGCCATCGTTGATGACGCCAATTTGCGCTTAGCTTAAATGGCTTCTATTATTTTTAGATCGCTTGTGGACTAGCTGTGCTATGTTTTGCAAAAGAAAAGATTCTGGCATTTTTTACACTCCCAGATTAGAGCTGAACGACCTGGGAGTATCCCCATATTTTCCCGATGGTTCTTGGTGTCATAGAGATTCAACAGGCATGAATTACTACTGTATTCAACATCACTGTTTGCCAGAAGTAAGTTGCTTTTTTATAATTTCATAATTCATACAACATTCAAGGTCTTTCTGTTTCAGAACTTTAAATTTACCAAAATCCAAGTGCCGGAATTAGACGATTTACCGATTCCCCAAAATGCCGAGCCGAATAGGTATTCACTACCGGCGAATATAAAGGATTATTTCTCTTTAGGTCCAAATGGTAGACCTCTAAAAACATCAATCAAAATATCTGATCTCAAACCATCGACCGATGAAGATTGGGAAACAAAGGATTACGTAGAATTGCCTACTATCGAAAAACGATTTGGCGCGTTGGTCCAGGAGATAAACGATCTCAATTTTTTCTGATTTTTTATTTTAAGATGTTAAATATAAAAAACTAATACATTTTTATATTCCTTTTATGTATTTTTCTTTACTCACGCAATCCAAAATACTTTCCAGTTTTATGTGTTGCATAACCTTCATTAATGTTTTGAAGGATACGATTGAACTACCGTAAGTGAAGTTACCTAAATTTTACAATGACAAATGACAAGATGTGTAAGTGAAAAAAAGTGAAAACGTTTTGTTAAAGATCAAGATTATTATTTAAATATTTATATATTGAAACGAATTCTATTTTACCTAAAGAAGCTTTTTATAAAAGGTAAGTCTACATTATTATACATACCTTTTAATCATAAGGTGTCATTTTAAAAACAGCTTTGTTCAGAACCCTTTGTACAAGGTGAACACATCTGTTTTGATTTTGATGGATCTTATTTTTTGTTTCCTTTTGCATAATCTTAAGCACATTTTTAATTTACTGTATCATATACGTGATTATTCCGAATAATATTGCTTATGAAAATATAAAATTTATTTTATTCAACATAGAAGTTTGATTAAACTAATTGAGAAATAAAATTTCCAATAGAACGAATATTTTTACCTAATATTGTTTAATATGTTTTGGTTTGAACAATATGTGTAACCAAAACGTTTTAATTTACTTTTCTTACTAAATATCTAATATTGTAATTTGTTTATCTAACAGGAAACTATAATAATAAACTTTATTAAAAGTAGGTATTTACTTATTGATTATTATTATGTACAAAGTACATATTGTATTTTCATCTAATTTGCATGAATCGTATTTTTTATTTTGAGTGCAAATAATAATTGAAAATAATTATTTTTTTAAATCTCAAAAACCTCTTTAATCCTGTAAAATCTCTCTAAAAATCCAAGGATGTATTAAAACATCTGTATAAATAACATTTTAAAAGTTGTTTACGATTTTGTATCAGGTAGGTATGTACATTTCTTTTTACTTTACACTTGGCACGTGTTTTGGTTTTTAAAGTTTCCAGTTAACAAACAACATTCTTGATTTAAACCAATATAGGAACCAAAATATTAAAATGCGTTGAACATATAATATAACTGATAAACAACCATTACTTGATTGCGTAGCTACAGTAAAAATGTTTTTAATCTTTATCTGCCATTTTTCAATTATGTTTCTATTACTACTGCGTTTTGAATTAAGTTTAATCAGATAATCGAGGTGTCATGGTAATTTAAATTATTTTATTTACAGTTTATTTTTTACAATTACCTGATCATAATGATTTATTTATTTCGTATTTATTTTATTAAAATTCATCACTTTTGAGACATATTTAGGTGAGTGGTTGTAGGGATATCTCTCGCAAGCTTTTTTCTCTTTTTATGAGCGTAGTGAAATTCACAGAAAGTATCTCATTCACGTTCATGTATCTCCCTCGTTGTCAGAAGAAAAAAAAAACAAAAAGAATAAAAAAAATATTTATTTTTTGAACGTGGCAGACAAAAGAAACAGCAAACAGCAGAATGTATGAAAATATAGGTTAAAATTTTTGCCGTTTGTGTTAATTTAATAGGTCTTCAATTCATATTTCTTCGTCAGCATAGCTGACTTGCGATAATACAAGAAATTTTCGTCTGATCTCCGAAATCTAAAATGGCCTATTTGGAATCAGGCCAACCTAATTTATGTTAAACATACACTATTTTTGCTTAGGCATATGCTTATCGAATTGATTTTTCCTACACTCTAGTAAATTGGGCAAATTGGGGTTTATTACTTTAGTATAGAGATATTTTAAAACTTTTTCGCAATCTTTTAAGGTAACTAATGCAGTATTTATTTGTGTTAGAAGGTTTCTTAAACCGTATTTCGGCAGCTAAATTTTCGTTACAGATCCAGGTTAAGGATTTTCCTTAAAATATTAATAGTTCTTTGATGTCTATAAATATTTTTTCAGGTAGTGCGTATAATATTCATATAAAATATTAAGCTTATATTATAAGAATAATAAAATATTTTACTTTTTTTACTCTTGGTGTATTAATTAAAACAATTTATACCAAATTTTATCATACAACTCTTTTAAGATAACCTTTTTTTAATCAATTCTCAATTTTTTCAAATGGAACATGGGTGGCTCATTAGCATATTTGGCAAAATCATTTTTTTACGAATAATTTGGTTCTACACAACTGCATTTTACAATTTCAAATAAACCATATTATGCGAAAATGTCAAAAGTTGACATGATATGTCATTCTATTCAGGGTGTCATTTTCTATCGAATAAAGTAAAAAAATATCGAGGTTGCCATTTAAAAATTAAAAGCTGTAGTTATTTCCGGTGAAACAGGAAGTAATAGCCAAAAACAATTCAATACGTCAATCAATCGTAATTTATAACATACTAACATACCTACGAAATATTGTTTTTTTTATCTGAAAAAATAAAAAAGTTATAGGGGGTAAACCACTTTTGAGACGCACCCGGTATTAATTAATCATCCTAAGATATTAAATATGTTTTGATAGTTTCATAAATATTAATAAATAAATTAAAAAAATCTCTCAGCCTTTTAAAAAATATATATTACAAAATACTAGGTATTTACTACCAGTTGGTCTGAACTTACTTTACTATAAATACCGTAATCTTAAACCATACAGGGTGTTTAAAATTCTATGCCAAATTTTCTGAAGTTTAAAATAGTTTCTCTTCATTTTTTTTAAATGGAACCGAAAACAACAAAGAAATAATATACATGGTGTTCCATTGGTGTTCCATAAAAAAAATGAAGAACAACTATTATGCCGTTTGATCGAAAAAAAAAAACGGCGTTCAGTTGGCTTGGAAATGACGATCGACACATAATTTCCCATATAATTTTACATATAAAATGACAGCGATCTTTATTTAATAGTCATCCCCGATGCCGTTTTTTTTTCGATCATATTGTATATTTTAGAAAGTTTGGCATAGAATTTTGAACAACCTCTATGGTTTAAAATTACGATACTATTATAATTTAAAATATAGTTAATTTTAAGGAAATTTAACTATTTAATTCTTAAGAAAAGACAAATTGAGACAAACCATTTTGCGCTAGATAAATAAAGGAGGCTTGTTCAATTTTCGATTAAAAACACTTTAAAAGTCGTTGTTTTCGTTTCATTCTTCCTAGAAACTGACGTGATATAACTTAAGAAAGTGAACAACAACAACGAATCGTGAACTTGACCGCAACGATTTCATTGGCCCAATTTCGAAGGCTCGTCGTATGACACGGCCACTGATAAACAACCACGATCAGTTGTTTGTTTTCCACGCAGAATATTCCATAATGAGCTGCGTATCTCTGAGATAATTATATTTTTCATGTTTTCGTTCATATTTTGCATTTTTATATTTTTTGCGACTTAAAAAGAAATATATACAGGGTGGTCCGAACTGTATTCCGGAAACTTTGGCAGCATATTCTGCAGATAAAAGTAAGTAAAAGAGTTCGTATAAATGTATGTCCTAAAATGTTTAGTTTCGGAGATACAGGGTGTAGGGGTTTAATTTTTATTTCGATTTTTTCCAAATAATTTCTGAAGCAACCTCAATATTTGGATGAAAATTGGTGCCTGGGACATGAGAAACATTTTTTTGACATGAGAAATTTGATTTTGATGTCAATATGACTCCTACTTGTAGAGGGCGCCACCTAGATATTTTTTAACTGGTTTGAAGAGTAATAATTTTTCGTCCGTACCTGTATAAATCTACTGAGTAAAAAAAATTACATTTTTTTTATGTAAAAAAGGTTTCTTGGTAAAAATCTCTACGAGTAATGGTTGGAGATATTTGGAATCGAAATCATCAAAACTTGTCATGACTGACATAAATTAAACATGTTGATACCTAGTTATGAAATACCTAGTTATTAGACTGGAATCATAAATTTGAAATATTTTTGTGCCAAAAGTTTAACAGAAACTGTTTTATCATCCTTTTTTCACAGAAAAATTTATGATCAATTTAAAAAAATAAAAAAATCCCAAATTTATAATTTCAGTCAAATAACTATCTACTCAACATGTTTATTTTTTGTCAATAATGACAGGTATTGACTATTTCCATTCAAAATATCTTGAGAACGGTTGCTCGTTGCGATTTTTACCAAGAGACATTTTTTACGTAAAAAATCACGGAAATGTATATTTTTTCACTCAGTAGTTTTGTACAGGTACGGACGAAAAGATATTACTCTTGAAAACAGTTAAAACACATGTAAGTGACGCCCCCTACAAATAGTAGTCATATTGACATCGAAATCAAATTTCTCATATCAAAAAACTCCCAGACACCAATTTTCATCCAAATATTGACTTACTTCAGAAATTATTTGGAAAAAAATGGAAATAAAAATTAAACTTCTATACCCTGTATCTCAGGAACTAAGCATTTTAGGACATACATTTATACAAACTTTTTTACTTAATTTTATCTGCAGAATATGCCATCGAAGCTTCACGAAAACAATAATTCTGTACAGTGTCCCAAGTAGCATTTGGACGTTATCTAACGTCGGGTATATGTCGCGTTCAATAAACTCGACGTCGGGTACCAACGTCGGTTCGACCGCCTGACGACCCTTATTTGCACCTAAATGGGGAATACAGATTCGGGTCGCCTCGACGTCGGTATCTGACCTAATAGGGAATGTAACTCTACCAATTACCAACATCATATTACGTTGGATTTTAGTCACTTAAAATTCGTCGCTAAGCACTTACGTTACGTTTGGTTTCATATTCGCTACCAAGAATACATAAAAAACTAACCAAACTACCTAATTACTAATGGATTCATAATCACTCCTCGAATATAACTATAAGTGCCTATTTAATTTCATATTATAATAATTCTGAATCATTAATCAGACATCAGTTTTGTCACGGAAGTCACTTTCTTGATATATCTGACTAAAATACTCCGGAAAACAACGAGCGCCTTCAAAATTAGGTAGATTTATGAAATAAAAATATCTATAAAAAAGTAACTCGCAAAATATTTTTTTTTAATTTTCTAGCTGGTTTAATCATAAAACTGTACTGTGGTTCCCCCCAAACTGAACCTTATCAATATTATTCTACTAGAAATCGAAATGTGAATATAAATTTTAAAAACAAAAAACGATTTTAAAATGGCTGACAATCGGATATGTGTTAAGAATGGCGGATTTCTGTGTCCGACTTAATATGAACTACCAATATACCAATTCCGACCGGGTCTCCAACATTAGTCGTCTCACACGACCGAAGTCATCA